TCTTTCGTCCTAGTTTGGAACCCCTCAGCAGTACGCACCCACCGGGATTCGATCCCAGGACCTTCTGGTTACAAGGCGAGCTCGTAGACCATTGAGCCACGACATAGCGCGTGAACTGGCAGAAGTTAGAATTCAAGGACCATTGGATCGGGTCCCGGTGGCTCAAGGGTCTACGAGCTCGCCTTGTAACTAGAAGGTCCTGGGTTCGAATCCCGGTGGGTGCGTACCGCTGAGGGGTCCCAAACTAGGACGAAACAGCTTTCCAGTACTCCCAGGTTTTCCAGTGGTTCTCTAACTGATGTCAGCTCATGATTAAATCCTCCATGCAATCAAACAAAATCCCTACAAAAACCAATACTATCGTTTATTGTCAGAAGATAGAGTCGATAGGGATTTTCGTTCAAAGCACTTTTATTCGAATGATATCTATCTATCTTCCTCCTAAATCTTGGACAATTTGCATCAATAATAATAGGAATAATAAACTAGATTTATCCGTTTTTCGATTTATTATTTTACCTAGGCGTTTGCATTCTCTCTTCTTCTCTCTTGTGTTAAGTAGTCATACAATATGTATTGAGCAGCACTATTAAAGATTGGACTTAGATTGTTTTTTAGGTAAGGAGTGTTAGGTGAACAATATGTGGTTGAGATATGAGTATAAAACTTGGGCACTGTGGTAGGGTAACACTCCATTATGGATAATGAATTTGTTTTGATAAACTCTCACAGTGTGCTATACAGCAATATTAACTGATGACCACATTTCGAGCACAGTTTATTGCCACTCATAATCATATCAAGTTACCTCTACTGGAGGTCAAACTCTTTAAATGGTAACTAAGAAAACAGGCTCCAATCCTAATGATAACCTAAATAAGAGAGAATTTAAGTCATCTACTGGTATACCATATAAGGAGGGGACATGTGAAACCCTACGTAGGATTCTTAATGAAGCAGGAATTAGAGTGGCATTCAAACCTACAAACTCACTCAGGGACAAGCTCTGTAGGTTAAAGGATCCTGTCGGTTGACGCGATTAGACAAAATAATATTATTTACAAAATACCTCGCAATGACTGTGAGTTAGGTCAGCTACATTAGTCAAACTGAGTAGGTCGGGGGTAATCAGATTGTCAGAACATAAGAGTTTAGCTAAGGTGTTAATGGTTGCCCTCGAGAAGATAAGTAATTTAGAACAAACCTCGGTGATTGCACTGCATGCATTAACAAACAATCGCATAATAGGGTAGGAAAGAGTCAAAATTCTAAGATGTATTATAGGTATTTAGGGAGAGAGAGAGCGAGAAGGATTGATTACCGAATCCTTCCTGGTTCATTGAGTCTACACCCAACACAACACATGCAACAGGAATGACTCAATGCAAATACCAGAAATATGGAAGATATTATTACCACCAGTCAGTTAAATCAGAAGAGGATAATAAATAATCTCAAAATTCCATTTCAATTCAAACACATCACAGCATTCTAACAAGTTACTTATTATTACTTTATAAACACTAGTCATATTTCCCATCTGATTGTATTTGATTGATAACACGCATATTATTATTATTATTTCTGAATGTACATTATCCTATATTAATTTTTATTCAATCAAATGTCTAATCATCAATTTCACTCATGTATATAAATGAAGCAAGAAAGTTGTATGAGTGAGTGACTTGATATGATTGTGAGTGGCAATAGTTTGTGCTCGAAATGTGGTTATCAGTTAATATTACTGTACGACACCACTGTGTGATTTATCAAAATAAAATCTTATCCATAATTGAATGTGGCTGTGAAGCTAAACCGATTGAGATTGCCATGTAGTAAAGTGTACGCTGCTTCGTTGGAGTCTTAGGGGTTCTATGGGCCAGCACAGCTACAGACTATATGAGATTTGATTTAAAATTATTCTCAATCGTTGGTGGAGATGTTGTATTCACTGTCTGTGATGTTCCGTATCTATTAAGCCCTCATGTTACTATTCTTTCTCCTTCGCATTTATGCTTGAATCACTTTTTTCTCTCATTTGTATGTTACGTGGAGTGTGATAACGTGAACTGCTGCATTCGTGTGTGTGTGTGTGTGCATGTAAAGCTCTACGTCGAAATTCAATCAGTCACTAAGTGTCGTTGGATTTCCGAACATCATCCTGTATAATGGTTAGTTAAGTTAAACAAAATCAATTCATAGCTCTATTCTGTCTTATATCATGGATACAGAACACAAGATTGATGTTTAAGAAAGCGGCTTTCAAAATGATCTACCGTATACCAACTAATCTTATCTTTACCTTAAGAGTTTGTCTACTATATAATGCTGAGGCTGACTGTTGGGATCGACTTCAAGGAACCTAACTTATGTATCCAAAAGAAGTTAGTCGGTTCAGACACTGTCCCCACCTTCACCGTCAATCAAGGTTTCAATGATCCTCGATTTGTTGTGGGAATTTCCTGATTTTATTTGATATTCTATCTAGTATTACATTTTTCAACACTTTTTATACTTAATGCATCTTTCTTGGACTGTAGACTGTAGTTTCATTGTGATCTCACTCAACAAATCGATAATATTTTTTTTGATTACAGCTTGATTCCACACCGTATATTTGGTACAAGTATGGAATTTTCAGCGTGGATATCGGTAGCCCGAAATTCGCAGGTCGACCATAGATATCAGGTGTGCGTCGGCGTGGGCTCGAACCCCGGACCATGTGCATAGTCGGCGAGAGTCCTAACCACTGTGCCACCGACGCATATTTAGTAACGCCAATATTGTTAATGGCGATTATTCTAGAATATTCTATGTATATAAACATATATGTACATACATAATTATAGAGTTGGAACAGGAAATTATCGATGAGGATATTCTTTGCACAGTTTTTTTTGTTTTCTAAATTGTGATTGGTCGTTGGGTATTCTACCTTATCTTGGGATAAGTATTCTTCAAAATACGCCATCAGATGTGTTTCGCAGATCGAGTAGTTGATTGACTAATTATGTCTACAGTAATAATCTAATGAATTCTTCATAGATGGCGGATTTTCATCAACAGTTTGTCAACTTCTCTGACGTTATACTGAAGAAGATCAGATAGTCGAACAGAAAGAAGAAAGAATAAGTAACAGGGGACTCTGAAAATGAATCAACCAACTAAACACCCATAGTCAAACACACACACTCACTGAGAAGACTGTTAGATGTAATATTGTGATGAGAGCTGGCTGCTAGCCAAAATTTATAGATAGTAAGTTCCCAATATTGGTCATGAGAATAAAAAAACAAGAACAAAGACTGACTCAACAAACCAATCACAGCAGGCTTCATTTGCGTAGGCGGATACAATTTGTAGATAGATAATCTGAACTTCAACAAACGGCCACAAAGAGGTGAAAGACTAACGTTCAGCGAGAAACCACCAATCAGAAGACTGTGTTTGTTTGCTTAAATTATTATTATTTCCTTTCATTCCTAGAGGATCATAGGGCTTCAGGCACTCACGTCTCTATTGCGTTCGGTTCTCTGCTAAAGTTTTCACCTGGCTCCAGGTTTGCCCATACGCTTTCGTCTTCTCTTCACATGACCTCCTCCAAGTCACCCTTGGACAACCCAACACGCCGCTTCCCCACTCGGGTTCCAATCGAGTGGTGGCCTGTCTAGTGATGTCACTTGATGGTTTTTTCAGAGTATGGTTAATCCACCTCCATTTCTTTCTGCAGATTTGTTGTACAATCGGCTCCTGCTGTATTGGTTCCCTCTCAGAGATCCTTGTTGCTGATCTTTTCTGGCTGGCCATCTGATCGTGAGTGTTGAGCGAAGACAGCTGTTGATGAAGGTCTGTAGTTTGTTTGAGGTGCTCTTCATGACGCGCTAAGTCTTTGATCCGTATAATAAGTAACACTGACTTCATAATGTAGTTGAAAATCCGGATCCTATTTTTCCTTCATGATGAGTGCTGTTGATTTCCAAACAGATTTGAGAGTAATGGAAGCTTGCCTTGTTTTCCCGATCCTCGCCGCTTTGATATCCTCATCAGTTCCGTCCACCTGTAGTTGAAACGATGCTTCCCAGGTCGGTAGGTAAAGGAGGTTGTTTCTTTCAGGTTCCTGACATTTACGCTGGCTGATTGTTGTCTGTTGTAGTTATTTGCCTACAATAATCTATTATAGTATACATAAAAATGTATAAATATGTGTTGACTTCCTAAATAAACGATCTGTTGCCTAGCCCTTGTCTTTCTTCTGTTGTTACAATGTCACAAACCAAACTGTCGAATAGTGCGAAGCAGCTTAGCTTAATGTGGATCAGACAGAGGATGATGACATAGCGTAAGATCGTGTGAGGAGACGACTTGAGTTTAATAATCAATCTTAGAGGCTAGCTAATACAAAAAAGGACTGCATTAGGAGGGAGATAGGATAAAATGCAGGTGTAGCGTTGAAGCTCCTCAGAACCCCCAAAGGAATACCAATAACAGTAATATTCAAGTGTTAGTTTGTAGGGATTTGATTGGTTACAGGATTTCATCATAAGCTGACATTAGTTAGAGAACCATTGGAAAACCAACAAGGAGTTTGGGACTCTTCAGCAGCACGCAACCACCAACAGGGGGTTCGAACTCGGGACTTTCTGGTTACAAGGCTAGCGAGCTAGCTCGTAGGCCATTAAGCCACTGGGACCCGATCCAATTGCCAGCCTGCCCATGAATTCTAACTTCTACCAGCTAATTCACGATATAACGCGACCCCTAGCCAATGTCTTCGGCGAGTATTTTTCTTCACACCCGACCTGATGCACCCAAATGGTCACTACTTCTCACTAGAACCCCAGGTAACTACCTACCTACCTACCTGAATAGGGCAAGTCACTAGTGAGTATCGCATTGATATTCAAGTATTGGTTTGTAGGGATTTGGTTGATTGGTTATAGGATTTCATCATCATCATAATAATAATTATTATTATAAGACATGAAGAAGTTGTTATTCATTGCTTATATAATTTATTCACATAATTACGTAATGTTTTGTAAAGTATACAAAATACCACTAGCAGTAGTGTAGGAATAGTTTTGGCTGTTTTTTTTTTAAAAATTTTCCTCTTCTCTGAATCAAAATAAACAAATACATAAATAAATAAATAAGGCGCATATTTATGTGTCTGTGTTTGTTTGTGTTTGTGTGTGTGTGTGTGTGTGTGTGTGTAGAAAAAACACGAAACAAAACGAAACGCACAAACATAGAAACACACAAAGGAAATAATATACCACATATCCCATTAAGCTTTTATACTACATAAGCACATAAGTAAATACATGTACATATACATATATACGTATATCTAATATTTGTATAGATTTATTTTATCAAAAATAGCTGGTCTTCTGATTTCAGCATTTGATGAAAGACTTGATGGTGTATTGTGTAATCTCATGTGTGTGTGTGTGTGTGTAGTGGAAAGATTCGACTAGTACTGGAACTGGAAGGTATTCATTACAGAATAAGAAGGATGGATAAGAATACTGTCAAATACTTGTATAACAAAAAAAGCAATAAACAAACAAACAGTGATGCATCCTATATGCTTCTTGGTCTTCTTCTTCTTCTTCGCCTTCCTGTTGTTGTCGTCGTCGTCGTCGCCATTGTCATGGTCGAGCAATACCGTGATTACCACATAACAACAACAACAACATTAGGATCTATGAAATATAGGACTTCCAGTGAATGCTGTTAATCCTTCACCAAGATTAGTTAATATTTTATTTCGACTTGAACTGGATGAACTACCACTGGAACTGGCTTCTTTTTTAACACATTGGGTTGTTTCTTCAACCTTTATTATTGTTATTGTTATTGATAAGACAAGATAAGATAAGATAAAGATAATGAAAATTGAATTAATGATAAAATAAAAACAGGGTCTCTGTTATGATGATTTATCATACATACATGCGTACGTACATAGGTATATTTACTTTGTGTGTGTTATTAGTTTAGAAGTTCTCCTGTTGGATTACAGGTTTAATTCAGTGGGTAGAATACTTGAACAACTATGCCTCATGTCGAGGTTCAAGGTTCGATCCCCAGTTGACACAATCTTAATTCTTCATAAGCAGACATCAGTTAGAGAACTACTGGAAAATCATCTGGGAGTACTGGACAGCTGTTTCATCCTGGTTCGGAATTCTTCACCAGTACGCACCCACAGTGAAGAGCTCCAAACTAGGCTGACCAAAACAGCTGTCCAGTACTCCCAGCTGATTTTCCAATGGTTCTCTAACTGATATCAGCTCATGATGAAATCCTCCAACCAACCAATCACATGAACAAAAAACCCTACAAACCAGTACTTGAAAATAATAATAATAATAATTGTAAGATTGACTTGTAATTCATAATCAGCATAACCTCTGTCCATTGTGGTATAGAGAATAAATTCCAGGTGAATTTCCTTATTTGATGTTCCATCCGCATAGGGATACATAATGTATTTACTTGTTAAGTAAAAATAGTAATCAATGCTGTGTCACTTTTATGCGCTATTTCAAAACAGACTAACTTGGAAGTAGCAAAAGTCTGTTTCTGTCTGTCTGTCTGTCTGTTAGTTTGAAGGGAAGTGATTGGCTTCTAGTTAGATGAAGTCAGTCACAGTGCGCAGAGTGCTAGTGATAAGATTTTTCAGTAGTATATAAAGAGATGTTCATCAACAGAAAAAACATCAAATAAAAAAGAGATACATTTGATTTCGGAAAAGACAATGATTCCACTTTGTGGAGGTAAATGGAAGACATGAAAGGAACACAAAGCAACCTTAATATGAAGTCCATAGGAGCCACAACACGAAGATCTACGGGAATGGTGCGTTGAAGATAAGGTATACATAATTTAGCTATATAAAGATACCAATTTCCAAAAGTAAACCTTCCTTTACCACGTCTTCACCTTCTACCTTTTCACCGAGACCACTGAAAACCACTGAAGACTTCTGGAAAGCTGTTTCGTCCCAGTTCGGGACTCTTCATCAATTCAATCACGATTTCGAGGTTATGCGTAAACTCAGGTGACGAATCCTTAACTAGGAAGGAACAGATGTTCAGTACTCCCATTTTTCAACATGAATTGACACCACAACTAAAAATATCAGAACTGGTGTGGATAGTGGACAGTTACAGGAGAATAAGGTTGTGTAATGATTGAATATGTACCCGAGTTCACTGACGTTCGGAGTGTAGATGTTGCTGCTTGGTTTAAGTAGATGACTTTCAGCAGATGACTTTCGGGTTCAAATTCCGCCCACACACACACAACTAGTGTGTAGCTCATACACGAAAATCCGGATCTTGTTGACTCAGATCAAACAGATATTTGAAGGAATGACGCTAGAATATACATACGGAGAGAGCTATCAAAGCAACTTTCCTATTTCGTATTTTTTACTTTTCTTCACATCTTGCCAAGTAGTAGTGATTTGCAGTGGACAACTACACACCAACTATTATTTTATTCAAGTATTGGTTTGTAGGGATTTGGTTGATTGGTTAGGGGATTTCATCATGAGCTGACATTGGTTAAAGAACCATTATAAAACCACCTGGGAGTACTGGACAGCTGTTTCCTCCTAGTTTGGGAGTCTTCATCAGTACGTTCACACTACCAGAGTTCGAACTCAGGACCTTTTGGTTACAAGTCGAACTAGCTCGTATACCATTAAGCCACTGGGATCCGATCTAATGGCCCATGAATTCCAACTTCTGCCAATTCACGATATAGCGTGATCACTAGCCAATGTCTTCGGCGAGTATTTTTCCTCACACCCGACCTGATGCACCCAAATGGTCACTACTTCTCACTAGAACCCCAGGTAACTACCTACCTACCTACCTGAATACGGCAAGTCACCAGTGAGCATCTCATTGATATTCAAGTATTGGTTTGTAGGGATTTGGTTGATTGGTTACAGGATTTCATCATGAGGTCGAAGGTGAGGCAGTAACTCATCGAAGAAGATATTGTGAAGTATGGGCGCTATTTCGTGAATTGGCAGAAGTTAGAATTCATGGGTTGGCCATTAGATCGGGTCCCAGTGGCTTAATGGTCTACGAGCAAGCTCGCCTTGTAACCAGAAGGTCCTAGGCTGGAACCCTTGCAGTGTGTACGTACTGTCTAATAGTCTCAAACTAGGACGGAACAGATATCCAGTACTTCCAGGTTTTCCAGTGGTTCTCTAACCAATCTCAGCTCATGGTGAAGTATTATTTTATTATTATTTATTATTACATTGCCTTGTGTTCCAAGTGGAACACAGGGGGCTTCAAGCTGGAGTTTTGAAGTTTCAGTAGCAGTGGTGTGTTGCTAGTCACCTCACGCCCAACCGATCCTCTTTGCCTGGATTATAACGAGCCAAGGGAGTTAAAAGTGAAGCAGGTCGGGGACTTGAACCTCGGACCACCTGCATGGTTGGCCAGCACTCTACCGCTGAATCACCGACGCATATATATATATACATAATTACTCCCTTTAATTCCTAGAGGAACATAGAGCTTCAGCCGCGCACCTCCATTGCGTTCAGTTCTCTGCTAGAGTTCTCACCTGGCTCCACGTCTGCCCACATGCTTTCATCTCCTCTTTACATAACCTCCTCCAAGTCACCCTCGTACTCACGACCAACTCGCCGCTTCCCATTCGGGTGCCACTAGAAGGCTTGTCCAGTGATGTTACTTGAAGGTTTCCTCAGAGTATCGCCAACAAATCCATCTCCATTTTTTCTTGCCTTTTTGTTGCACAATCGGTTCCTGATTGGTTTGCTCATTGCCAGAGATCCCTCTCTGTTGCTGATCTCTCTGGCTGGCCATCTAATCTTGAGTATTGAGCAAAGACAACTGTTAATGAAGGTCTGAAGTTTGTTTGAGATGCCCTTTATGACGCACCAAGTCTCTAATCCGTATAGTAAGTAGGACTGACTTCACATTGGAGTTGAAAATCCGGATCTTATTTTTGATTCTGAGTGTTGTTGACCTCCACACAGATTTGAGAGTAATGAAAGCTTGTCTTGCTTTTCCGATCCTCGCTTTGATATCCTCGTCAGTTCCGCCTGTAGTTGAGACGATGCTTCCCAGGTAGGTGAAGGAGGCTGTTTCTTTCAGGTTCCTCCCATTTATGCTGGCTGATTGTTGTCTGTTGTTGTTGCAGCTGTTGGTGTTGGTCAGGAATCGTCATCACCTCTGTTTTCTCCATGTTTACGTGTAGTCCTATCTTTGATGCTTCTTCTACCAACTTGTTGCTTTTCACTTGCATATCTTCCGGTTTGTGGGAAATCGGACATATATCATCGGCAAAGCCCAGATCCTCCAAGTTTGTCTTTGTGTGAGTCCATTTTATGCCTGTTCCCTCGTTGGTTGCCATTGTCTGTCTCATTATCCAATCTACTGCAATCAGGAAGATCATTGGTGATAGTAGGCAGCCTTGTCTCACTCCCGTCCTCACTTCGATGGCTTCCGTAAGTTTCCTGTTGTGGATTACTTGTCATGCAGCATTGTCGTATAACTGTTGGATGAGATGTATAATTGTCGATGGCACCCCTTGGTAGTAGCGAAGTAGTTTCCAAATCCCTTCTCGACCGACGATATATATATATATATATATATATATATATATATATATATAAGCATCAACTATGAGAGATCAGTTTACTTTTTATATACTAGCTAATATTTTCAATTTAATTATTGTATAACTCACCTGAATTCTTTGAATTACTGTTTGATATACAATAGTGTTGAGAACATTTTTCGATAAGCCTTGTAATTCGAAGGCACTAAATATTTTCTACAAGAAAATAATCAAAATGGAAAAATAAAGTTTCTGTTAGAGAAAACCTGAAGGCACATCATGACAAAAGGATAACATCAATCTGTGATCAAATCAAATCCCTACAAAAACCAAATGTTATTTTTATGCTCACTAGTGTCTGGCTATGGGATAAAGCTGCCTAGAGTCCTAGGGGGAAGTCTTGGTTGGCATTGGGGCCACTAGGTCACGCCTATCAGGATAGATACTCTCCGATCACACTGAATAGTAGTCGCGCTAAAATCGTGATTTGACACAAGGTAGAATTCATGGACTATTGGATGCCAACCTTGATAATTAAATGGCTAAACGAGCTTTGTCTTGTAAGCTAAAGGTCTTGAGTTTTGATCTTAAGTAGGTTCAGTGAGTCATAGGTGCGTATTGGGGAGGAGTTTCCAATTGGGACGAAGCAGTTATTCAGTACATCCCGGTTTTCAATAGCTCTCTAACTGATATCAACTCGTGAACAAATATGAAACAGAAGTAGAGATAGTCAGTGGAAAACTTTGACCACATATCCACCTTTTTTCATGTATTCGATAAAAATGAGGGTACTTCTTATAATTAAAGAGAATGTTTAAGTGAGGAAAGAGATGTCCTCTTTTGGTAACATTACTTCAAAGCTGTACAGTTAGTGATTTAAGGAATTTATACCATGTACAATGTTGATTGACAGAAAAAGTCACAAAAATTATCCTCATGTCGTAAAAAAACAAATCACAGTGCATGAGTAATAATAATGTTCGAAACAATCATGGATAGTCTTACGTAAACGGCGAGAGGGTTGACAACTAATTACTTAACTGATGAATAATTCCTCAGAAACAGTTGGTGAGAGAGAAAAGAACAAGGGGTTGGAAACGGGTTAAAGCTAAGCCTTGAAGCTGCATACTGAAGAAGTTCGTTCAACCACTACACTTGCAATGGACGTAATCTATCTTAACACCCGACAGGAAAATTCCGCTTCTTTCTATCTCTTCATAAGTATTATTTTGTCTTTACAATTGTAATATTTTACATTTTCAACTTTCTTGTTCTCTACCCCCATCCGATTTCATTTCTACACTTAATTACTTCTGTTACTGACTTGACCAACGCTCACTTTTTAGTCATTTATGTTACCATTTTCAATTTATCTGTTCAATTTTAGTCCTAACTTACATGGCATTATTCTTTACCCCACCTCTACTTAGTCTCTATCTACCTGTAATTACCTCTGTTGCTATCCTGATCTAGGTTGAAACATTTTAGTCAATTATATTACGTCATCTAACTTACTAACTAACTCAATCTTACGTTAGTTGCTGTCTAGCTGACCTTGTTTCCATATTAGATCATTCTTATATTTAGAAAAGAGAAAGATTGAGCGAAGAAATATTTACTTTTCAATTAGATCCTCATCTCTGGCTCTACTCTAATATATATCCATAGCATTTTTATTACAATACACAACAATTTACCAATCAAGTGGCGATATGTTTGTTAACAATAATTAGTCGGTGTCAAAATGTCAATGGGGTGATAATTAACGAAGAAGAAAAATTAATACATATAATTAAAAGGTGGAAATGGATAGAATAAATTAATTTTACAAGGATAACACGTAAATTAAAGATGAAGTGGTCAAAATAAATGAAAATAAAGTAAATAATTTTTATAGGCTTAGGGGGAGGGTGGCGACATAGTCCTGTTTATGCATTCTTGTGACGATGACCACGGTAGGGAAAGTGTTTGTACACATTTCTTCTGAACACTTAGGCTTGGCTTCTTCAGGTGAATTCTAATAGCTTCAGCCGTCTGTGGGAAACGAACCCGCAGAGCAAAATTAAGATAAATCGGAATGCGATAAATAATTTTAAATAAAGTATTTACATCAATCTTATGCTCAATATCAACGAGGTGGGCTAAAATAGAACTACGAATAGATCTTAGAAACATGCTCAGTGACACAAGATGGGATTTGTTTAATGTTGATTCACTTAATGACAATATCTCTAATATTACATCCTATCTGAAATTCTGTTTTGAAATCTGTTGTCCAAAAGAAACACTATTCGTCAAATTTGACCGTTTCTCCTCGCCTCAACTTAAAAAGCTTCGTAGAGAGAAGGAAAAACTATATAAAATCAAAGATAAAATTGGTGTAAAAAGAACTAACTTCTTAATTAAGTCTGAAATGCAGAGGTTGAATGTAATATATAACCAGAAATTCATGTCCTGCAAAAATCCTTCTAATATGTGGAAACTATTTAAGGAAATCACTGGTGGTAAGCAGATAAACAATATTCCATATTCTTTTGATGTATGTACTCTTAACAAATCTTTTATTTACTCTCCCTCAAATGCCATGCTTCCCAGCATCACTTGTGTTAATAATAGCCCCTTTCCAGGTTTTAACACAAATGATGTTCAAAAGAGCCTCAAGTCTCTAAACACTTCCCAGAGCTTAGGTCCCGATTATGTACCTAGTATTATCTTTAAAAAATGTTCTGATATTCTGTGTCACCCTCTCACTGATCTATTTAACAAATCTTTTTCCGATAATATTGTGCCTGCCGTTTGGAAGGACATTTAAGTTGTACCCATACCTAAATCTTCTACTGGAGCATGTGTCAAATTTAGACCCATTGCTATTACCTCTCCTTTTTTGAAAACTATGGAGAAATTACTTTTACTTAGTCTTGAACCTTCGCTTAAATCCTTTAATGACCCTAAACAATTTGCCTATAAGCACAGCAGAAGCACTTTAGATGCAGCTGCCGTCTTATATCATAACATTGCTTCCAGTCTAGACAAGGGGGCTAAATTTGTTCGTTGCGCCTTCCTAGACTATACATCTGCTTTCGACTCGGTCCCTAGGGACATCTTATTAAATAAACTTGCTGCTAGTCAAACAGAATGTTGGGCTGTTAACTGGTTGCATTCCTATTTCTCAGATAGAAAGCAGTACACCGTATATAAAGGGAAGTCCTCCACTTCATTGCCTACTGAAGCTGGTGTCCCTCAAGGTGCTGTTCTTTCTCCTTTTCTTTTTTCTTTCTTCTTGCACGACTTGCCTCACTCTGATGAAATAAACTTTGTGAAGTATGCTGATGATTTAACGGTTTCAATGGCTGTTAACTCCCAGCTAGATTTTACTAAAATAAATAGCTTTCTATCGGAAGTTAGCAAATGGTCTGAGTCTAATGGTCTTAAACTGAATCCTTCTAAGTGTCAAACTGTTGATTTCAGCTTAAGATGTAAACGACAGTTAAAAGAAGTCATCGATTCTCATGACACTTGTAAAATTGACGACAATGATATAGGAATCAAATCAGAAATTAAGTATCTTGGACTCATTCTCTCTTCTGATCTCTCCTGGTCTTCCCATGTCTCAGCAATCTCCAGTAAAATATTCCGCTTGACATTTTACATTAAGAAGTTAAGACACTCGGGTATAACTCAACCCCTCATCCTACAGTTCGTAAACTCTTGCATCCTACCTATTCTTCTTTATTGCTCACCCTTATTCTTTCCTGGTTTGCTTAAAAAAGACTATGTCACAATTCGTAGAATACTGAAGACTGTCAGCAGAGTGAGTGGTGTCCCAGTGGATCACATAGTTAACGTCGTTGTCGATAGGCATTTGACTTCGTGCAATAAATTTGCTAAAGGGATTTTGTCTGACTTGGAGCATCCGCTTTACCCTCAGCTTTCACCTTGCATCTCCTCAGGTAGAACAAGGAGTAACTTCAGAAAACTGTATGCTCGCACGTCTAAGTATAAGAAGTCTATGATACCATACTTGGCATGTATTTTATGTGATGAAAATAGTGTCAGGCAACAATTAACTAACCCATTTTTCATCTAGTAATTAAACAATTTCCTCCATCCATCCTTATATACCTTCAAGTTTTACTTTTATTATTTCTATTATATTTATTGTCCTGTTACTTCTTTGTTTTACTCTCATAATTGCAAACACCAACTTATCTGTATGACGGCTGTAATCTTTGTTTTTCCCCTCACCATATCATGTAAAGAGAACATTATATTCAATATTTTTAAACATGTTAGGATTTCTATACCACATTGACAATATTGTGTGGCACAAGCCAACGGCAATTTTCACTTGTATTCTTATTATTATTACCCTAGCTGTTATCATTATTATTGCTATTTCCATTTTACATGCTGCATGTTTTTGACACTACCTCTATTGTAAATGTGGAAAATTTCCTGTGTGATTAATTTTACTTATAATTTGAGGAAATTAGATGCAATATTGTGATTAATGCTGAAAATTCCATTCTGTATCACAAGTGTAACAACAGAAGACAAGGGCGAAGCAACAGATCGTTTTATTATGAAAATCAACACGTATTTATACATCTTTCAACTACATTATTATAGACAAGCGCAGTCATCTGATTGGTTGTTTAGGTAGACAAACGCAGGCTTCTGATTGGTTGTTTCGGGATTCCTTGACAAATAGAGTTCTCTCTGCGAATCATATTTTGCCACGTTAACTTTGCTGTGATTGGTTGTTGACTCAGGCTTGTTCATATTTTCTCACGGCCCATATTAGTGACCTAGACCTTAACGTAGATTAGTGCCAACCAATCGGCTAGCAGCCTGCTCTCACCACACTCGTCCCCCCGTCAAATAGCTTCGTGCGCAGACGTTCCGACCTTCTGGGTGCTACATCCTCTAGTTGAGGATTGTTACTGACCGGCTTGTCCCACTGTACCCATCTTTGGAGCTGACTGGCGTTAACTCGTTTCTGTTTATCACCTCTTCGGATGGTATATACTTGACCCCGTCTTTTTGTGATTGTGTATGGTCCTTCCCACTTTGGAAGGAGTTTCCGTGAACCTAGCCCGCCTCCAACTGTATATCTCCTGTCTCTACACTTCACTTGGTCCCCGACTGCAAAGGTAATGCACTGCGTCCTTTCTTTCATCTGAGACTTCGCGACATCACTGCGCTGCTTCCGTATTACATTCTTGACTGCCTCTTTCCTCTCTGCTTTTAATTTCGTCGTACTCCACTTTTGGTGCATGGGCCAGGTCTCATTGTGTACCGGTAATCGTGGTTTTCTACCATACATCAGTTGGAAGGGTGACTTCTTCGTTGTTTCCTGAGTGGTAGCGCGATGTGTTAGTAAAATCAGTGGAAGCTCCGTTTCCCAGTTCCCGCCCTTCGAGGCCAGCCACTCCTTCAGTGTACGGTTGTTTCTCTCCGTTAGGCCATTCGTTTGTGGATGGTATGGGGTCGTTCTGATCCTCTTGATGCCCAGCTGTTGCAAACGGGAAGTAAACTCTTCACTCTCGAAACAGGGACCTTGGTCTGTCAGTATTGTCTTCGGTACGCCGTGGTCTGCAACAATGTGTCTAACTACTGCATCTGTCACGGTTCTTGCACGTTGGTCTGGGATTGCTACGGCGTCTACCCATCGTGTCGCGTGTTCCGTCATCACCAAGAGGTACTGATTACCATTGGATGTCTGAGGAAATGGACCCATGACATCTACGGACCACAAGTCACCTATCGCGGTAACTGGAATCGACTGAAGTGGTGGTCGTATACACCGGTCACCTTTCATCAGCTGGCACCGTGGACATCCAAGTACGTATCTTGCTACGTCTTCTCTCATACCTGGCCAGTACATACTTTGTCTTAGGAGATCGGTCGTTCTGGCCACGCCTGTATGCGCTAGCTGGTGACATTCTTCTATCATGTCGTGGCGCGACGATTGAGGTATGACAGCCAGCCAGCTTCCGTCGTTCTCTCGCCAGGTCAGAGTCCCGTAGGCATTCACTCTGAGTCGATCCCTCTGTCTGAGTAGTGTGGTTAGCTCCTTACTCGCCGTAGTTTGATCCACTTCTATTCCGTTGGTGATCACCTGTATTACTGTATTCAGCGTATCGTCCAACCTCTGCCTACGTGCAAGTCTTAGTGGGTCTTGTTCTACTGCATGCACTCCGTAAGCGACCTCGGGCAACTCAGACTCATCTTCTGGTCTCGATAACAAATCTGCCAAGACATTTTCACTTCCAGGAACGTGTGAGATCGTAAAATCGTACTCCTGAAGACGCAACATCCACCGTGACAACTTCCCCCGTGGGTCTCTCGCTGTCTTCAAAAATTGTAGCGGCTTATGATCAGTTTCGATGTGGAACCGCCGGCCGAGTAAATAAGGTCTCCATTTGTCGACTGCCCATACCATTGCTAAACATTCTTTTTCTATCGTTGAATACTTTCTCTCTGCGAGTGTCAAAACCCTACTGGCATACTCAACGATTCCCTCGTCCTGTCTTAGGACCGCACCTATAGCGTAGTCACTGGCATCTGTGCACACTGTGAACTGTCTTCCTGGCACAGGTAGTTTTAGCGTCATTTGTTGGTGGTCGAGCAGCTGTTTAATTCTGTCGAATGTCCTCTGCGATTCTTCCGACCAAACAAACTTTGGCTCACCTAGTAGCCTGTATAGAGGGGCTGCTATCTCATTGAAGTTCTTCACGAAGCGGCTATAAAACGCTGCTCTACCCAAGAATTGTCTCAGTTTTCTCTTTGAATTCGGGGCTGGAATCGTTTTAATCGTCAAAATTTTCTCCGGCAGTGGTTTAATCTCACCATTTCCCACTTTATGTCCCAACAGAGTAACATTCTTTTTGGCTATCTGGGACTTGGTTTTGTTGACGCGTAGTCCAAACTCTTCGATGCGTCGCAGCACGGCTTCTACATGGTTGACGTGATCGTTTTCGTTTTGACTGTATATGACGAGATCATCACCATAAACCTCCACGTTTTTCAAGTTCCTAAGTAATAGCTTCATCAGTCGTCTGAACGTAAACGGTGCACCTGCTAGTCCAAACGGCATGCGTTTAAATCGATATTGTGTCTGACCCACGATGAAAGCCGTCTTATCTCTATCACCTTGTTTTATCGGTATCTGCCAGTATCCTGAGCGAAGATCGAGAACCGAAAACACATTCGCACCTTGTAGGCGATCTAAAGTTTCTACCACTGTTGGCATGGCACACGGTCTTAACTCTGTCATACTGTTTAACTGTCGAAAATCAACACAGAATCTATACTTCCCATTCGCTTTTTTTACTAACAGCACTGGAGAGTTGTACGGGCTATCAGCTTCCTCAATAATGTCATCTTTTAACATCTCTTGCACTTGTCGCTCCACTTCGCCTTCCAGATGACATGGAACTCTTCGCGTTGTAAATGACCTTACTTTCGGATCACTTAACGGAATTTCATGATTCACCTTATCGCAATAACCGTATGGGTCGCCATCTCCAGTGAACAGATGATCGTATTTACTAATTAACTCTGTCACATTGTGTACCGTCGGCAGCTTAATCGCTGCTATCTCGCTGGTCTCATACATGTTGATATGCCCGTATTTCGTGACCACCACGTTCGCTTGCGTGTCGATTATGGCACCAATCTCACGCAGAAAATCCGCTCCTAATATCGTTCGCTGTAGTTCGGGTACAACAATGAAAGGAAACGTCACCTCGCAGCCACCAACAACGACCGTACAGTTCGATCTACCCGTTATACGCAACACATACCCGCCTACTGTTTGTACTGTCAATGAACACGGGCTAACACTCTTACATAAATTCTTATCTATTAACGACACGGCCGCCCCTGTATCTATCAAACATACTACTTCTCGATCATTCACTCGCAACTTCGAATACAGAGCGCCTTTCTCAATAGCCCCCACTAAATCTAGGTTCATACGAAAGAAAGAACAAGCATTATACCGTCTGAAATTTTTTCTTTTCCGCCTTTCTGGGCAGTATCTTCTCCAGTGTCCCGGCTTACCGCATTCAAAACACCGGTCTTTTCTATCAGCCAACTTTAACGCCGCCACTTCCCGCTGCAATGCTTCAATTTTCTGCTCATACTCGTTTGGTTTTGGTTGGTCTATAGCGGCTACCGTTGTGCTCAGCAGCTGTCTGGTCACCTTCGCCAGCTCGCTAATATCCATCGGCTGCGTTGCGTTAACCAGTTGTAATCGCTGAGAAATGTGGTCTGGGACACTCTCGATGAATTGGGAAGACAGTAACTGCGCTTCTGATTCTTCATCTAAAGTGGGAAGTGCGCGTCGAAGTAGATTAGTCAGTTTCACCGCCAACACTAGCGGGTCTCCATCAGGTCCAAGCTTCATTGACCGGAACTGCTGCATTGCTAGCTGTCTGTCTGTTTCGCTGTCAAACTCGGACACTAGTCGTTCAACCAATTTCTTCCAAGACGCTGTGCCATTTGACCTGTCTACGCTGTCATATGCAGCCTTCGCTCGGCCTCTCAACAGCGTCCCCAAGACAACTGCCTTCGCTGCCTGCTCCTTGACACCCACCAGCTCAGCAACAGCCTCGAAGTCACGTAAGAAGCTCCTTATGTCTCCTTCTTCAAACGCAGCTGGCCACGGGATCTTCATTTTCTGGAGGCAGCGACACCAAATGTAACAACAGAAGACAAGGGCGAAGCAACAGATCGTTTTATTATGAAAATCAACACGTATTTATACATCTTTCAACTACATTATTATAGACAAGCGCAGTCATCTGATTGGTTGTTTAGGTAGACAAACGCAGGCTTCTGATTGGTTGTTTCGGGATTCCTTGACAAATAGAGTTCTCTCTGCGAATCATATTTTGCCACGTTAACTTTGCTGTGATTGGTTGTTGACTCAGGCTTGTTCATATTTTCTCACGGCCCATATTAGTGACCTAGACCTTAACGTAGATTAGTGCCAACCAATCGGCTAGCAGCCTGCTCTCACCACACAAGTACTGTTTTTGGAATAAAGTAAATCATTATTATTATTATTATTATCTTTTTTGTCCCTTACTTAACCACGTTGGATGATGTTCGCAAAATCGGAAAAACGCACACCAGATATCTATGGTCGGCCTGCGAAACTTGGGCTACCGATATCCACGCTGAAAATTCCATACTTGTACCAAAAATACAGTGTGGAATCAAGCTGTTACCAAAAATTAAAAAAAAATACTTGTGTTTCTGAATTTCTTGTGTTGGTTCTCCTAATTAGGACATCTAAAAATGGGATTTTATTGTCGAATTTTTCTTCTCATGTGGTGAATTTATTGTCTTCAAATATGTTGCTTATTAATTTGTGGGTATATTCTAAATCCCATTTCTTTTGTTTAATACGAATGTATCATCAACGTAACCTACTCAGAATTTCGGTTTAACTATAGGTTGGGTAGAGCTATTAATTCTAATCTTTGCATGATGGCTTCAGCTATTAATCCTGATATGGGCGACGATCACATTAGTGTTCCTTTTATCTGTTCGTATATTTCACCATTAGATTGGAAGTATGTTGTAAGACATAATTCTATGAGTTTTATCTAGGTTGGACATTGCATTTTTATGTTTTCATCACTATAGAGTAATTTTTGCATAGTTTCTGTTGCTAGTTTTGGACTCAGTGAGGTATATAATGCTGTGACATCAAAGGACACCATTATTTCATGGTCTTCTACTTGAATGTTTTTGATTTTCTCTAAAAATTGGATTGACGAATTGATAGAATAGTCGCATGATTCTGTTAGGTATTTTAATTTCCTAAAACATTGTTTGGATACATTATGTGTTTGTGATCCTGGAAACGAAACTATTGGTCGTAAGTGAATGTTTGGTTTGTGCAGTTTTGGTCTAGCATAAAATCGAGGTAAAATAGGTCCGTTAGATTTCATTCACCATTGATCTTGTTTTGTAATTTGTCCCAATTTCGTCAGTTGGGCGTGCAATTAGGCAAGTTCATCATCGTTTTTCCGAACATCATCCAACGTGGTTAAGTAAGGGACAAAAAAGATCTATTCGTAGTTCTATTTTAGCCCACCTCGTTGATATTGAGCATAAGATTGATGTAAATACTTCATTTAAAATTATTTATCGCATTCCGATTTATCTTAATTTTGCTCTGCGGGTTCGTTTTCTACAGACGGCTGAAGCCATTAGAATTCACCTGAAGAAGCCAAGCCTAAGTGTTCAGAAGAAATGTGTACAAACACTTTCCCTACCGTGGTCATCGTCACAAGAATGCATAAACAGGACTACGTCGCCACCCTCCCCCTAAGCCTATAAAAATTATTTATTTTATTTTTATTTATTTTGACCACTTCATCTTTAATTTACCTGTTATCCTTGTAAAATTAGTTTATTCTATCCATTTCCACCTTTTAATTATATGTATTAATTTTTCTTCTTCGTTAATTATCACCCCATTGACATTTTGACACCGACTAATTATTGTTAACAAACATATCGCCACTTGATTGGTAAATTGTTGTGTATTGTAATTAAAATGCTATATATATTAGAGTAGAGCCAGAGATGAGGATCTAATTGAAAAGTAAATATTTCTTCGCTCAATCTTTCTCTTTTCTAAATGTCTAAATGGGGATATTTTCTACATTCTTATATTACCTGATTAATTAACTATCTTAACTTGACAAGCCTCATGTACACACACACACACAAATAATTATATATAAATTCTATTTTACAGCTGTGTGAATGAGTTCGCCGTCGTAAAGAGTGTCTTCCCTGAACGTTTTCTCTTTTACATATAACTCAATGGGGATTTTTAAGTTACTTAAAAAATAAAGGATTACATCGAGTTTATTATACAACCATTCAGTGAAGCCATGGTAGTAAAAGAGATTCGATGAAAGGTTTCCAAACGCAAAATTCAGGTTTCTCCTTATAAATTACTAAACAGCGATACTCTGCGAAACTTGAATATATCTAAGTAACAACTAACTGCATATCGGAAAAAATTCAAGGGAGTTATGCAATTAGTGAAGATCTCCGAAGCCACCTGTCGAGAGCGAGTTGACGAACATTCGTTGCTTTTTTTGATAACAGCTTGATGCCACACCGTATTTTTGGTTCAAGTATGGAATTTTCAGCATGTGATATAGGTAGCCCAAATTTCGCAGGCCGACTATAGATACCGGGTGTGCATCGGCAGGGGATCGAACCTCAGACCATGTGCATCGTCGGCGAGAGTCCTAACCACTGTGCTACATCAATACGCCTCCTCATCTTCTCCACAAATATGCTCTTGTTCACCAAAGCATTGAAGATAAGACCACTCACGCTGTTGGTGACTTACCAATTCCCTTACTTCTGTGGAAGCAAATACATAGGCGGTGACAGCAGAACATTGTCTAGACGTGGAATTGAACACTTACGAGCATGATTATCAAAAGGAGGAAGCACAACAGTCAACAGCTCCATTTTGCATTGCGTTATTACTTCTGGTCACTAAGAATCAGCAGAGACTTAATCCTCAGTCGTGTATAAAGTAAGATCAGGAGGACTTCGTATGTTTTTGAAAGTGTGTGAGCGGTTGTTACTTACTGGCTGTCCACACCCTGGAAGCTGATTTTTCTTGTGATACTTGAAACAACAAGAGAATTAGTGTTGCCTGATAGCATAACCTAGGTGACAACTGTTTAAGGCCAGTTGGTCACACACATGGCTTGTCTGAAGTGGATTTTCACTTTTGTTCCGTACTAGTACTTTACCGTCGACTACAGACAACGGTATGTGGGGTAAGTCGGGATGTACAATTTTTGGGGTCGACATTTTTAACCCTCTCTTTCCAGAGAAGAGAGACAGCATAGCTGGCTGGCATGCTGGTCATCTGATTGAGGGAAACACCTTACTGTTGACTGGTGAATACCGACTAACACGAAAAGTAGGTCCAAGACTTTCTGTGGCCAATTACTTCCAACCATCTAATACAAACAATTCACAGTACACCAAGCCTCCACCTAGCATGGTAGTCACAGTTCAAACTGGAATGATAGAATTCATTCTTCACCAAACTGAGAACAATATTGAGAAAACAGGGAAAGGAAATCACAGGACCAGTTAACAATAATAATAATAACAAATATATAGGTACAACTCACTTTAACAATAACTGATAAGAATTTAATCTGATGCGGATGAAGTAGGATGCTCTTACGCTGGATAAGCCAATCGTAGACAGCTTTCATTTGACGTGTGTACCATGTCTATAAAGGGTATACAAAACAAAAGGGATGAGTAATTCACAAGATTCCTTCGACAAATCACAAATATTAGATTTTTTTTGATTACAGCTTGATTCCACACTGTATTTTTGGTACAAGTATGGAATTTTCAGCGTGGATATCGGTAGCCCAAAATTCGCAGGCCAACCATAGATATCACGGTGTGCGTCGGCGTGGGCTCGAACCTCGGACCATGTGCATGGTCGGCGAGAGTCCTAACCATTGTGCCACTTTATTAATTTAAATGATATTTTAATGTTAGGTACTTTGTACTGTACCAACGCGCGCTTTTCGACTACTGCGCTACATTTCCCTTATCTATAAAAACTCTCGTTTCTGTAAAATTTCATGCCAAGAGTTTGTGGAAACTATCATAATTATTGGCGAAGTTTAAGAATAGCGTCCCAAAAGCTTCAACGTTCAATGACCTTGAACGCATGCTAGTCATTGGTTGAGGAACCTTCCCATTATTCTAGCGCGAAGATGACGCCTGTGCATCTGCTCAGATGCAAATTTCAGCCAGAGCACGTTTTTCAGTACTGTTTAGACAATGGGTTAATAGGACATGCTCGGATTTGTAGTTGCGGTGCTTCCATGAAACTGCAGCCGTATACCCAGGCCATTAATGGATATATATTCAGGTGTACACAGTGTAGGAAGCGAACAAGTGTTCATACTGGTAAGTAACACTGTCAGTTGATTATCTTTTAGGAACTTTCTTCGAAAAATCGAAACTTTCGTTGACATTTATCCTGTTTCTATGTCATTACTGGATTTTGAAGACCGGAGTGAGATCAACTGCAGCCCAGACAGACAATACCTTACCATCTACTGTGCAATGGTTCCAGTTTTGCAGAGATTTAGCGTCGTGGAAGATAAATAGCATCACGCAAGTGCTAGGCGGAGTGGGTTTAGTTGTTCATATCGACGAAACTGTGCTTATAAAAAGGAAGCATAACCGGGGACGTGCTAGGGCCAATAACGTTTGGGTTCTTGGTATTTACGACACGCAGATTCGCAAAGGTTTCATCGAACTCATTCCGGATAGGAGTGCGGATACACTGCTACCTATTATTCAAAGACTGGTGTTGCCAGGCACAACCATTCATACGGATGAATGGGCAGGATATAACCATTTATCAGATTTGGGATATATACATCATCGAGTAAACCATTCAGATGACTTCGTGGACCCTAGAACCGGTACCCATACCAATTCAGTCGAAGGTTTCTGGGGAAGACTAAAAAATAGAATCAGAGCTATAAACGGCTCTCAAAAGGAAGTTATTTTTAGTCATCTGGACGAATATATGTATAGACATTGGTTTAATTTAAAAACTAAAACTCCTCATTATAATTATGACACTTTTTATCTCATATTGGACAAAAATACCCTGTATAATGTTTTTTTCATGCTTTTTTGTGTAAATATACGCAAAATCTTATGCAAAAATCCTCCTATTTTCTGATCGGTCGGCTCAAGGTCATTGTGCATTCGCATCACTTGGGACTCCATTCTTAAACTTTTCCTAATTATTTACCTTTCGAACACTAAATCCAAGGATAAAATCTTATTAACAGATAATACATATAACTAACTATTTGGATTTGTGAAATTTTTTAAACATAAACACATCTATAATTGTATATATTGTTGGATTTATATGTTCAAGTTGCTCCAAGACAGTTAGTCTATGGTTGAGATATCATTTTAGTTAACTGTGCTGAACTATATTGCATGTTGTAGCGTTGTTGTCGCTTTTTACCCTTTTTGCTGTGAACTGTTTTCCTATTGCTGGTGTTGTTCTCATTGTTTTGTCCGTTATTTTCCGATTTTGAGGGGAGCAACCCAAAAGGTCGCTTCTCTCTAAACTTTATCTTAATGTAACCATTCCTTTCTCAGGCGTGAGGCTAGCAACCCCACCCTGTAAACAAAAATTGCTACAGAAACTTCAGCAAAATGAACCTCTTTGCACCAAAAGACAAAGTCTGTGTGAGGACATGGATCGTCCGCACTATGTACGAGACCGGCAAAGCTGCCCAGATCGCCAACGAGATGAAAAGATACGGAATCCAAGTACTGAGAACATGTGAAAGCAGATGGAATGGGAATGGACTCACCAAATTGTCAACGGATGAGTCAGTGATCTACTCCGGTCACCCAGAAGATAACCACACACACACCGAGGGCGTGGCTATCATGATGTCACCAACGACAACAAAGGCCCTGATGCAATGGGAGGCGATCTCATCCAGGATAATGACCACCACATTCAACTCCAAAGGAAGGAAAGTGTCAATCATACAATGCTATGCACCCACAAACAATGCAGACCTCGAAAAGAAAGAAGAATTCTACAGACAACTACAGGCAACAATGGACAATACTCCAGCTGGTGACATGAAAATACTAATGGGAGACATGAACGCCAAACTGGGACCAGACAACACAGGAAGGGAACTCATCATGGGTAGAGAAGCTCTCGGAGAAATGAATGAAAATGGAGAACTCTTCGCCGACTTCTGCGCCTTCAACGAACTAGTGATTGGTGGCAGTGTATACAAGCACAAAGATATCCACAAGGCTACATGGGTGTCACCAGACGGGCAAACCAAAAACCAAATCGACTTCATCTCAATACTGCTCAAGGAAGTGGAGGCGCAGCCTACTGGACACAAAAGTAAGAAGAGGAGCAGAGATTCGTTTAGACCACTATCTTGTACAAGGGGCAATGCAAATCAAATTAAAAGCTTACAGGGAAACAGGAGCTGCGAATAGACCACAAGCCAAGTTCGACACTCAAAAACTGAAGGACCAGGCTACAAAGGACATCTTCATTGCAAGCATAAAGGACAAAGTCGAGACAGAAATCAACACCAGCGAAAAGGTCAGCGTCGAAAAGCACTGGAACAACTTGAAAACGGTGTGGAGTCAAACCTGCATGGAAGTTCTAGGCAGAAAAAAGAGACAGGACAAACAGTGGCTCGCTACGGACACTTGGAAGCTAATAGAAGAGAGAAGGACAGTGAAACAAAAGATTATCCAGTGCACCGACGAGCAACAAAAACAGGAGCTGAATGCAAGCTACAATACACTGAACAAAAGAGTGAAGAAGAGTGCCAGGGAAGACAAAAGAAAATATTATGAAACCATGGCAAACGAAGCAGAACAAGCTGCAGGCAAAGGAGACCTCGCCATACTCTACAAAACAACAAGGTACCTTTCGGGCAAAAGTTCGACACCGATTAAGCCAATAAAGGACGACTATGGAAAGTCAATCACCAAAGAGGTGAAGCAAAGAAAACACTGGGCTGAACACTTCAAAAGACTTTTAAATCGTCCGCCACCTACAACACTCCCAACAATACCAATAACGGAAGCAGAACTACCAGTGAACATTGATCCCCCGACGAAATCAGAAGTCCTGAATGCAATCAAGATGCTAAAAGCTGGGAAAGCAGCAGGACCAGATGGAATCCCAGCAGAAGCTTTGAAAATATACCCAGAGACAACATCGGACTTGATGACACCACTGCTGGAGAAGGTGTGGAAAGAGGGCAAAGTACCCGAGGATTGGAAGAATGGATACTTATTCAAACTTCCAAAGAAAGGAGACTTAAGTCAATGTGAAATGTGGCGTGGAATCATGCTTCTGTTCATTCCAAGCAAGATACCAAGTCGCATCATCCTGGAGAGAATCAAAGAAGCCCTAGATGAGAAACTTCGACCGGGACAGGCCGGATTCAGGAGAAACAAATCATGTATTGATCAAATCGCCACTCTACGGATCATCATTGAATAAAGCTTAGAATGGCAGTCACCTCTGTATCTCAACTTCATCGACTTTGAAAAGGCCTTTGACAGCGCAATGTCGACCGAGAAGTGATTTGGAAACTACTTCGTTACTACGGGATGCCACCGACAACCATGCATCTCATCCAACAGTTGTACGACCATGCTGCATGCCAAGTAATCCACAACGGAAAACTTACCGAAGCCTTCGAAGTAAAGACCGAAGTAGGACAAGGCTGCCTACTATCGCCAATGATTTCCCTGATTGCAGTAGACTGGATAATGCGACAGACAACGGGCTATGAGGAAACAGGCATAAAATGGACTCACACAAAAAACACTTGGAGAATTTGGACTTCGCCGATGATATAGGTCTGATTTCCCACAAACTGGAAGATATGCAAGTGAAGAGCAACAAGTTGGCAGAAGAAGCATCAAAGATAGGACAGACTCCAGGTGAAAATAGATAAAACAGAGGTGATGAAGATTCCTCGCCAACACCAACACCAGCAACAACAACAGACAACAATCAACCAGCATAAATGGGAGGAACCTGAAAGAAACAACCTCCTTTACCTACCGACCTGAGAAGCATCGTCTCAACTACAGGCGGAACTGACGAGGACATCAAAGCCAGAATCGGAAAAGCAAGACAAGCTTTCATTACTCTCAAGTTTGTGTGGAGATCAACAGCACTCATCATGAAGGAAAAATAAGATCCGGATTTTCAACTCCAAAGTGAAGTCAGTCCTACTTACTATACGGATCAGAGACTTGGTGCGTCATAAAGGGCATCTCAAACAAACTTCAGACCTTCATTAACAGTTGTCTTGGCTCAGTACTCAAGATCGGATGGCCAGCCAGAGAGATCAGCAACAGGGATCTCTGGGAGCTAACCAATCAGGAACCGATTGTGCAACAAATAGGCAAGAAGAAATGGAGATGGATTGGCTGGCGATACTCTGAGGAAACCTTCAAGTGACATCACTGGACAAGCCTTCTGGAGGAACCCGAAAGGGAAGAGGCGAGTTGGTCGTGAGTTCGAGGGTGACTCGGAGGAGGTCATGCGAAGAGGAGATGAAAGCATGTAGACAGACATGGAGCGGGGTGAAAAAGTTGTCAGAAAACAGAAGGCAATGGAGGTGCGCGGCTGAAGCTCTTTGTTCCTCTAGGAACTAAAGGATACAATAATAAATAATATAATAATACTTTGTACTGTTGATAGCCCATGGGTAGAATGCTAGTAAACCACGCTTCACATGATCCGAGGTTCAAATCCCAGCTGAGAGGACTCATGAACCTCGCCCAGTCGATAGTTATCCCGCTGAAGAGGGATGGTTTGGCGTGAGGCTATCATCTGTACTCCGCAACTGAAACTTCAAGGATTAGGAGATTTGAAGCTCTATAGCCTACTGGAACTTTAAAGGTATGAAAATAGCCTTCCACCGAATCAGGTAGTTACAGCTATCACTATGCGATAACGTTGGATAAACTGATTACGTAATAAAACACCAACTCCAGATGCAAGCAATTCTACTGAAGTAGCAATGGTCATATATGGCGAGTCTTCGCACATCCTCTTCACTGAGAGGTAAGGCTTCACCATGAGTAGAGCCAGACTGCACCCACCGATATTGGATAGCGACGGTGCCATAGGTGTCCTAAGTTGGCATTCGCCACCTTGGCTTTTAGTATGACAGTTGGAGAGCTCATCCGTCACATCTCCACCAAGCATTCATACAAACGTCCTAGGTACATGAACCTGTTGACTATCTCTAGCGGTGAATGTAGGTAAAGGCTCCTACCAATCTTGCAACAATACGTTTCACTTAAACGGAACTTTGCATATACCACATTTATAGACGTTGTCCACCAATTGATTAACTGGGATTTGGGCAACCTGTATGTTACCGCAGAGGAAGGCGTTATCGTCTGCAAATGCGTAGTCAGAATGTCCTACTCTCTCACAAACTTTAGCAGCTTTTTGTCTTTTAACTTCGTCATTCTGTCTCTACGTCCCCCTCCTCACCGCACAGTCATAGTTTCTCTTGACCTTCATATTAGACTTAATTTTTGATCCTTTGAGTTGTACTCACTGTATAACGTCATCATCACCATCATTTCAATCGACTTCGTGCGCATCCAAATTTTGATTTTTCAATCCAATCAGTTCTAATCATTGTAGTTTATTATCTCCAACAGACGAAATAAAACGGGTGCATAATATCTTGCTATTAAATGGTTGGGGGCAATCGGAAGGACACCCTTCTTGACCTTGATTTCGTGGTTGTTGACACTCGTGTTACAGCCAGTAGTATCTGCAGTCTTGAAACGGCTCATACCTCAGTACTACAGTCAGAGGCGTTACTGCTTTACTGCACCGGCGTTTGTTCTATCTCTGTTCAAATTTATAAACAGGGAATTCATATATAAAGAATCACATTTTGTCTCGTAGGTATGTGTGTGTGTGTGTTCGTGGGCAGAATTATAACACAAAAAGGACAAAACTTACTTCCAGCATCGATAGCATTGAAACTTCATCGATTAGATTTTCACTTAAATTCTGTAAATTTACATGAAGAAACGTTCCATAGGCTTGACCTTCTTCATCGGTAGGTTTCTGTTTAAGAAAAAAAAGGAGGGAAAAACAAAAAAAATTCGCATTAAGAAGTCCCCTCCCCTCGTCTTTATATAAATGATCACAAATTGATTTCAGTTGGAGAGAACCAATGGAAACTATTGTGGTGTACTGGATAGCTGTTTGGTCTACCCTGTTTGAGACTCTTCAGCATAAATCACTCATAACTCTCACGCTGAATCGAATCCAAGACCTTCAGGTTGGAAACCAAGCTCGTATACCACTGAGCCACACAGGATGGAATCCATTTGGCCCATCACCCTCCTCCTAGTTACAATTTGAATATTCATCACATTCTTTTTTTTTCTGAAATATTTTGATGACGTAAACAATAACATCGAAGTGGAAATTCTTAGAAACTGCCTTCTCTAAACGTCTGAAGAAGACATTTCAAGCAGCTACCTACCGTATCACATTTTCCGGTAGATAGTTAATCCAGTCTAACGTTAAGGGTAAGATACCGCTTCTAGCCACCTCAGTGTGTGTTTATCAGTTTCCTTGCTCTTGTGGAGCAATGTATATCAGCTGGGTGACTCTAAAGAATAGCGGCCCAAACTGAAACGACCTTTAAACGCAAAAATGACCCTGATAGGGACAACTTTCTGTTTCCTGGAATTTTCTGTTTCATAATCTGTAGCTTACCGATTTCCTCCTTGGGCACTCAATACATCTGTAGACATAGCCATCAATGGCCTCTGTGTATTTTTATATGTGCATAACTCCTCCGCATTGGGAAATTTTAGACCTAGCTATCAGTCCGTTATCCAAACAGTAACGCATAAGGTGTAAAGAATCCATGATTACTTCCGCAAATGATACAGTCAGCTGATTCCTTGCTCAAGGTCACTTTTTTGTTCAAAGGTCGTTTCGGTTTGGGCCGCTATTCTTTAGAGTCACCATCAACTGTACGCAACGTCAAGCCCACAAAAGTATTCTGGAACACTGTCCAGCTTAGCTAGCTAGCCAAAGAAGAAAAGAAAAATGCTAGCAGCTCCATCCCTGAACACCTTGCCAACTGTGGACATCAAGCATCCCTAATTGCATGAATGCTTCACAGAGCTACACAGAATCCCTCAATATCGTACGAAAGGACTTCGAATACACCAGCTCTACATACATAGCTGAATCATTGGCTATTCGGGATCTGAAGTTGGACCCCTGCATTCAAAAGTACCACATACATTCGCTTACCCTCCTTTGACCAGAATAACATTCTTACTATAATTTTGCTTCTTTTTATTATGTAAGTTTACTGTTATAATTATTTTATTATCATTATAATTTTTCAATATTTGGTTTGTAAGGATCTGATCTGTTTTGACGACTTGATCACGGATTGATATCAGTTAGAGTAGCGTTAAAAATCAGCATTAGAGTAATGGACAGCTGTTTTATCAGTCTAGTTTTGGAATCATCGGTAGTACGCACCCACCAACACTGTTCGAACCCAGAACATTCCGGTTATAAGGCACATCACCTTATGAAAATGAATCGTCGAAAAGAAAATTTTCTTTACTGTGTTTACGTCTTTTTCTTGTAAATAACAACTCTAACTTTATTTTATCTTTTACACACACATATGAAAACAAGAATATATATATGTAACTCCAATTGTACCGCTAAGTGAATGAATTCGTCGTAAGCGGACTCTTCATTGAACTAGGTGTTTTGTTTTCACTAATATCTGAATGGAGATTATTCATGAATTGACCTTCATATTATACTTATAATTTTGATCCTCCGAATTCCAGTGACTACAATCTTATGAGTACTGATCCCTGTATTTTATTACCTCTGATTACGCAATTGTCACTGGACTTATCACCGAAACTGTTTATTTTTTATGAGAAACTTCGCCCTTATAATATATAAAGATATATAATGCTGTCTAGGACGGAGTTTCCTGGAGTCCTAATGAGAAGTTATGACCAGTGAGGTCCCCATGTAGTCAGGAGTGAGGATGAATCACCCGGAAACGATATTGCTTGGTGGTTACGCTAAATCACGAATCGGTAGAAGTTAGAATTCATGGGCCATTGAGTCCGAAGGGCCTCAGTACCTGAATGGTATACCAGCTTACCTTGTAGTTAGAGGGTCCTGGGTTCGAACCCTGTTGGTGCGTGCATGCTGCCGAAGAGTCCCAGGCTAGGAAGAAACAGCTGTCCAGTACTCTCTGCAGGTTTTTCAATGGTTCTCTAACCAATGTCAGCTCATGATGAAATCCTATAATCAATCAATCAATCAATCCATTCCCAACAAACCAATACTCGACTAGTTCTCAATATTTATCAATACATAAAAGAAGTTGAATAAACACAATGTAAGTTGCGTAATAAGATGAATATTTTAACCAGTGAGTTGTGTTTAGGATGGACATAGAAACAAATGAAAATATGGAGTTATCACTTCAAAGTGATCTACAAATAGCCTACCAAAGATAATACGCTTTCGTCTCCTTTGTATCTCTGATGCCTTGGGCATTCATTTAGAGAAACCACAGTTATGTTAACCCAAAGAAAATCATTCAACCAAATCCGCTGGCATGGTAACAACCGTGTTGACTTCTACTGACTTTATGTTTATGTGCTTGTTTTTTTTCTAACTCCTTATAACATTTGTAATTTTTAGAAGTCTTACGTAATTCCACGTTTTCCCTTGTTTCCATGTGCATCCTAATCACAACTCACTAGTTAAAATATTCATCTTATTACGTAACCTGTATTGTGCTAATTCAACTTCTTTTATGTGTTAATAACTATGCTTTTGTGGACAACACATGACCACTACCCTCTTACCAATCCTCACCCTCACCCACACACTAGTTGCAGTTTGATTACTCATCACATTTTTCAAATGTCATGGCAACAACGAACCTGACTTGTTTTTATTCTTATCTGGAAAGCTTAATACACACACGCACACACAAAAGTTTTTTAATCCTTTATGTTCCTCCAGTGGAACATAGGGGGGCTTCAAGCTACAGGCTTGAAGTTTCTGTAGCAGTGATGATTATTTTTTACAGGATAGGGTTGCTATCTAGCCTCACACCCTCCAACCATCCCAGTTTACCAGTCTTACTGCTGGCTTAGCGAGGTAAAGGAGTGCGCCGGCCAGGGATCGAACCCGGGACCACCTGGATGGCTAGCGAGCATCCTACCACTGTGCCACAGACACATATACAAAAATAATTTTTTATTTTGATTACAGCTTGATTCCACACCGTATTTTTGGTATAAGTGTGGAATTTTCAGCGTGGATATCGGTAGCCCAAAATTCGCAGGCTGACCATAGATATCAAGTGTGCGTCGGCGTGGGCTGGAACCCCGGACCATGTGCATGGTCGGCGAGAGTCCTAACCACTGTGCCACCGACGCACAAAGTATATATAATTGTGATTGTACAGCTAAATGAATGAATTCGCCATCGAAGAGAGATTGTTCGCTGAACTGTATGTTTTTTGTAATCATTATAATCATCGTTATAAGCCAGTGATAAGACTGGTAAAGAGGGAAGGTTTGGCATGGAGCTAGCAACATCGTCCCGTAAAAATGAACACCACTGCTACCGAAACTTCAAGTCTCTAGCCTGAATCCCCATATTCCATTGAGAACATGAAGGAATGAAAAAAATAATCGTCGTTATTACTGATCTTTAAAGCATGTAATACATTATTATTATTATTTCCATAATTGGATCCATAAACTCACTGTCACTGGTTAAAACTTATATATATATATATATATATATATATATATATATATATATATATATATATATATATATATATATGTAATAGAGTAAAGCCTGAAGGAGATCTAATTGAAAACAACAATATTGTTCACTTCTCTGTGTTGTTCTAATATAAACCATGGAAATAGCTAAAGTTTTGAAATTCAATCTGTTACGTAATCAACCTGCGCACACGCTTATTCCTTAATTACTCTTCATTTTTTCCAAAGCTATGCATTATGCAATCCACTCATTGTAATCATTTCTACCTTTTAATTGTGTGTTTATGCTAATTTTCTTCGTAAATTATCACCGCACCCCATTGACATGTTGACACTGACTGACTAATTAGTGCTAACAAACATATCAGTGCCACTTGATGATTGGTAAATTCCATACATTTGGTTCCCTTAATAAATTTCGATAGAGAGAAAGAAAGACCAAATTTACAGTATAAAATCTGATATCATCAGTCTACTTCACAGGTTCCCCTCATCAGCTAACTGCACACCACTACCTGAGATTACAATGGTTATAAATATAATAACATTTCATGCCTCAATGTTTGAAAGGTAATAGAGAAGACATTATAAGATGAACCCATCCAGAATATAAGTATTACAATACTTTTTAGCTTAAGTTACCATCAAATCACATACTATAAAACTATGAAAAAAGCTGAAGGGTAGTGGGGTGAGAGAAGACAGAAAACAGAAAAATCTGATAAACAGTGTTAGCTTGTATATCAACATAGCAACTGAAGAAGGTTAAAGTTCATCAAATTGAAAACTTGCTTAATGAGTTGAGCTCACTAGTGTGTATGAAAGTGTAATGAAAGTGATATGGTTGATTCCTAAAGGAGTAAGAGAGATAGACTACCCTCTCTCTCTGTGTGTGTGTGCATAAGTTTGGTCTGAGACGTTTGATTGCTGTAATTGCTTCAGCAGTAAATCATAGTAGATTCACTGTCTTTTGTATGTTTAATATTTTGAAGGATTTGGAAATCTCGACAAAGTGACCCGTATCTACAAGGTGTCTGGTGTCATTACACTGATTAGTCATACACACTAGTGAGCTCAACTCATTAAGCAAGTTTTCAATTTGATGAACTTTAACCTTCTTCAGTTGCTATGTTGATATACAAGCTAACACTGTTTATCAGATTTTTCTGTCCTCTCTAAACCCCTCCCTCTTTTTTTAACTTCATAGCTTGATAGTATGTGAATTGATGGTAACTCAAACTAAAAAGTATTGTAATACTTATATTCTGGATGGGTTCATCTTATAATGTCTTCTCTATTACCTTTCAAACAATGAAGTATGAAATGTTATTATATTTCTAACCATTGTAATTTCAGGTAGTGGTGTGCAGTTAGCTGATGAGGGGAACCTGTGAAGTAGACTGATGATATCAGATTTTATACTGTAAATTTGGTCTTTCTTTCCCTATCGAGATTGGTAAATTGTTGTGTATTGTAATAAAACTGCTGTACGTGTATATTAGAGTAGAGCCAGAGTGAGATAAGGGGGGATCTAATTGAAAAGTAAATATCTCTTCCCTGCTCAATCCTTCTGCTTTCTAAATGTCTAAATGGGAATTTTTTCCATATTGAAATTCAGTTTTTGTCTAAACTTTAACTGATTCCTACTACTAAAAGGCTAGTTTCATTTTCGTTCCACCGCGTCAGTGGTTCAACGTTAGAATACTCGCCAACTGCCCACCTCACCTGGTTCGCAGTTTAAATCCCAACCGACCCATTTCATATAAAGCTCGTTTAAGGATTTGATTGGTTACAGGATTTCATCACTTGGAGTTCCAGTGAGAAGTCGTGACCAGTTGGGTTCAGCAGGTCGGGTGTAAGGACAAATACTCACTGCCGAAGACGTTGGCTAGTGGTGGTGCTATGTAGTAAATTGGCAGAAGTTAGAATTCACGGGCTGGTCATTGAGTCAGGTGGGTCCCAGTGACTGCTGAATGGTCTACGAGCTCGCTACCCTTGTAACCAGAAGGTTCTGGGTTCAAACCCCTTGTTGATGGGTGCGTACTGCTGAAGAGTCCCAAACTAGGCTGACGAAACAGTTGTTCAGTACTCCTTAGCAGGTTTTCCAATGGGGAAAGTGAAGGAATTTCAAAATAAAGAAAAGAAGATTGTTTCTATGAACTTACAGTTAGGACAAGTATTGAAGACAATAGTTTATTTTCATCGAATCTGGTTAACTTCTTGAGGACACCATTTAATACAGTCATAAATTGATCGATAATGATAACCATCATATTTCTTTGTACATTTTCAAAGAATTCTTGTGTTTCCATATGTAATTGGTTCTTGAAGAAGGAAACAAACCGAAAACAAACCAAAAAACAAACAAATAAACAAACAGATTGGAGAAGGGGGAAATTTAGAAGGTGGAATAAATAAATACTCAGTGTATTAAATTAGGATAAATAAATCTGACCTAACACAGTGGGTAATAAATTAGCATGTTATTTTAGATTAGAAACAAATAATATACAATTGGTGGATGGTGGCTAGCAGTGGAATCCAGGATGCGCATTTCGTCCTATTTGGGAAAATCAAAAAATTCAATTCAATAGAAACAAATAAATTAGCATATATATATATATATATATAAATTTCCTTTAATAAAAGCATGAACAATTTCTGATGTGATTTAAATCTCCTTTTGGGAATGCATATATATATTTTTTAATCAATTAAGGAAACAAAGAAAGCATACCACGGTAACTAATAACAACGCACCAATATATTATATTATATTGGACTATAGCTTGATTCCACACTGTATTTTTAGAACAGGTATGGAATTTTCCGTATGTGATATCGGTAGTCCAAATTTTGCAGGCCGACCATAGTTATCAGGTGTGCGTCGGCAGGGGGTCAAACCCCGGACCGTCTGCATGATAGGCGAGGGTCATAACCTCTGTGACACCGACGCGCAAAAAAGAGGCGGTCTTCACGCGCGAACCGGGCTGTCGCATGGCCACCATTCACAGGCACTATTCCGCTACCGCACCACGCGAGGACTTTTGCCTGCTAGGTTTTCCCCTGGGCCAGTGCGCCTTTCCGTAGTCGACCTGGACAACCCGTCCTCCGACAGGTCACCCATATCGGCGACATGCTTAGTGTGGACGCCGGATCAATATGAGCACCCATATGCCAGAACTTCCGGTCCCAAGGAATTCCGCAACCTGGCCTCCAAGTAACTAGATTACTAGCGTATTTCACCACAAGGATATATATGTAATCTTACTTCCTAGAGGGACAAAGGGCTTCAACAGTGCATGTCTCCACTGCATTCGGTTCTCTGACGACCGTTTTCATCTAGCTCCACTTCTGCTTACATGCACTCATCTCCTCCTCGGATGACCTCGTTCTCCTCCTCTTCCTCCGTGTCACTCTTGTACTGATGACTAACTCGCTGTTTCCTATTCAGGTTCCATTCGATGGCGATGGCCTAACGTGTGATGTCACTTGGTGATTTGTTGTTGTTGTGGTTAGGTGGTTGAGTGATGGTTGGCACTCATCAGTCAGTCAGTGAGCAAGCCGTATCTGCAACACCTGACGTTCTAAACTAGGTGTTCCCATGTGACCTCAGCCGGAGACATTACCACTGCGCTATTCAGGCAGTAAACTGACCTTCTGTAGGATTGTAATGGATACTTTTATTGGTCTTTAGGTGATAACTAATGTCGTATGTCTAGACACTGGTGTTGGTGCAGCATTCCGGGCGGGGTAGGGCGGGGTGAGTTCCTTAAAGATTGCAAATATGCCTTCTTATGACATGAGTACCAAAAAGGACGGAACCTAGGCTTACACAAGGCTTCCTGTTGATTGTCTCTAACCAAGTAACAACCAATCAAAATACACTATGATGGCTAATCACCTAGAATGATGACCACATTTCAGATCTGACTGATAGAATTCAGTCTGCACCAAAACGAAGGAGGACTAGACACATATGGCACTGGGTAGTACTTAGTGTCCAATCAAAGAATCTTGGAATGTAGATACAATGATCCGTCAAATAGATCAACTGAAGACGGCTAAGAAAATGGCATAGTTAAGCACAGGACGACTGATTTATCTATTTATCAACGTAGAACAGTACATAACATAAAGCGAAAAACAATTCAAGTTGAAAAAGAGAAGACATTTAAGCGAAGAGATTCTTTTCGGCGAATTCCAGGGCGCTTGATATTCTCTTCTTTAGGATATCGATCAGAATGTTGTCTTTGAACGCCACATTCATGCAAAGCACCCTCTTTGGCACAGAGATGCGTTGATCTTTGTTGATTTCCGGCCTTCTATGTTTATCCATAAAGCATAGTGGATAGCCATTTTCAAGTAGTGTCTTCCTTATAAAACAGTGACCTCATCTTCCATTGATTCGGAGATTCAACTTCTACAGATTCTAGTCGCAAAGGATATAATCAGGTTCCGCTTGCAACTGATATGTATCCAACAGTGAATGTTTTTCAGCTGGCTGTTCCAAGTAGGCTTTCGATATATTGATCTCTTCAGAGTCCCATCAGTCTTCTTTGTGAGTGGAAAGTCCAGAAATGAGATTGTCTCTCCATGCTCTTTCATTCACACTTTATATTTTTTTTCCTTCATATCGTGTAACCCTTGTCAGTACTTATCAATCTTCACTTCCTCTCGCCTAGTTACAATAACCCAAACTAATTTTTATTTTTATATGACAATCCTAATTTACACACCCCCCCCCCACACACACACACAATAATTATATGTAGATATGACTTTACAGGTAAGTGAATGAATTCGTCATTGAAAAGAGAAAGAGAGAGAGACTCTTCTCTGAATTTGATTGTTCTTAAATACAACGATGCATGAAGATGGATTTATCAATTTAGATATCCCAGTGATTTAGACTGAATGCCTTCAGTGGAGAAGTTTTGGGTAGTCAAGTCATACATAGCATCCTACCTTGTTAAGGAAGTCAGTCACTGACTGTTGTTTTAAGCCACATAGGTAGGTTTAAGTCGACTGGTAGAGATAACTTAATGACCAGTAAATAAAAAAAATCTTGGTAACAAGGCTAAAAATCCTTCACGCTTCAGGTCAAATATTCACTTGAATCCACCAAGACTATCTTGTCTTCTCAAGGTATTGGTTTTGTAGGGCTTTTCTCTATTTGGTTGGAGGATTTTATCATGAGTTGACATCAGTTAGAAAACCATCTTAAACCCCCCCCGCGTCCCTGGGAATACTGGACAGCCGTTTCGTCCTAGTTTGAAACTCTTCGATAATATGCAGCCATCGGTGCTTCCTAAACTAGGACAAAACAGCTGTCTAGCAGTAATTCTAGGTGATTTTCCAATGGTTCTCTAACTGATATCAGCTCATGATGAAAATATCTTGTCTTATATTGTACTTAGGCTTGTAACAACAGAAGACAAGGGCGAAGCAACAGATCGTTTTATTATGAAAATCAACACGTATTTATACATATTTCACATACATTATTATAGCTTATGCAAGTAGACAAGCGCAGTTATCTGATTGGTTGTTTATCAGAAGTTAGGCAGACAAACGCAGGCTTCTGATTGGTTGATTCGGGATTCCTCGACAAATAGAGTTCTCTATCTGCGAATCATATTTTGCCACGTTAACTTTGCTGTGATTGGTTGTTGAATCAGCCTTGTTCATATTTTCTCACGGCCCATATTAACGTAGATTAGTGTCAACCAATCGGCTAGCAGCCTGCTCTCACCACAGGCTTATTCACATTTTAGTGTGATCCTTCAGAATGTGACCATTTGTATTGATAAACTTCTATAAACAGTTCTACTTTGATCCAACTATCCGACTAATTATGTATTTGTCAGAATAGCTGTATAATTAATTCTATACTCATAGTAGATTTATAATCATTCTCACTGTCAAATTAACCAATAGGGAAAAAGGTAGTTAAAACACAGTCTTTTTAGTTCAGCGAAGAAATTTCTTTTCAACGACTTCATTTTCAAGCCAACTGTACAGTCGTATTTATATTACAGAAAAAGATTATTAAGTGGCACTAAATAATTGCTCAGTCAATGTACGTATATATGTGATAAAAGTTATAAGGGATAGAGCTGAAGTGGATAAATTACAAAAATATTAAAGGTGACACCATTTCAGAATTGATTAAAAATCGTTTATCTAAATGTGTTAAACGCACTTTTCCTGCAGCTGACTCGCAACTAGTTTTTACCAGCCGAAATATGATCAGACAATGCGTCAAGGATAGATTACCGCTTTTGTTCGCATCTATGTGCATTTACTCTTTTACTTGCTCTTGTGGAGCTGTTTATATTTGACGTTGTAAGCGTAATCTCCGAAAACGTGTAGCTAAACACTATCCGGTTTGGTTAATGAAAGGCGAACGTAGAACTGCAAAGTCGTCTATTTGTGATCATTACGTGTTAGAGTCTGGACATTTAGCCCCACGTGATTCATCTTTCAAAGTTATCTACATGGCAAAATCAAATCGATCCAAAAGTTTACGTTTTCTTCACTTATGCATAGCTAGCCGAAGCTTTAGCTATACATGAACAGAAACCTAAATTATGTGTTCAAAAGCGTTTTGTAAAACCTCTTTCTTTACCTTGGTCATAGTAATGTTCTTTCTAGTTTTTATTTTATTTTATTTTACCACTTGAATTCTTTTCACTTCACTTCACATCTTCATTCTTATCGTAATCGTACTCCTAATTTTCAAAATTTTTAGACAACACTTGACATTTTTGTTATAGAACAATCTTTCATATTTTTGTAATTTATCCACTTCAACTCTACCCCTTATAACTTTTATCACATATATACGTACATTGACTGAGCAATTATTTAGTGCCACTTAATAACCTTTTTCTGTAATATAAATACGACTGTACAGTTGGCTTGAAAATGAAGTCGTTGAAAAGAAATTTCTTCGCTGAACAAAAGCAACTGTGTTTTTACTTATGAATAAATGGGTATTTTTCGTGAAAAAGGTAGCTGGTTAAACTACAAATACAACTGCTTCTTAAAGTAATTTCGCTGATGGGTGGTGAACAGCAGTGGAATCCAAGATGTACATTTCCATCTCACTTAAGACTCATCATCAGAATGCATCTTTATTTCTCAGTGAGTGATGATGTTCCCTTTTGAGCCTAGAACCAAGTAGTCATCGTTTCAAACGTTAAAACGTTATTCAGTAGACTACTTGAACCACATTTCACTGGTCAAATGGATTAGGCAGTCTCAAAAGCAACACCATCACTCACTAGGTGTAACCGGTACATCTAGCTAACGAGCCTAAATCAGGATCAAATGTACATCGTGGATTCCACTGCTAGCCATTATGCACCAAATTATTTATTACTATTATTCCCTTGCGTTCTGAGTGGAGCACACGGCTGGCTTCAACAACACATCTCCAATTTGTTTTGTGTTCTGCCGTTCTCTTTAGCTGGGTCTAAGATTAACCAAACCCCTCCCCCATCTCTTCTTCACACGATATCCTCCATGTCACCCTCACACCGACTATCCATTCTTCGCTTCCCATTTGAATTCCACTAGACGACCAGGGGTACGATGTCATTCTTTGGCCTCCTCCATGTATGCCTGTTCCATCTCCACTTTCTTCGATTGGCTCTTGATTGTTGGTTTGATCTCATAGTTTCTTGTTAACCATTCTTTCTGGCCATTTGATCTTCCGTATGGAGCCAGCCAGCCAGCCAGCCAGCCAGCGAAGAAGGCAGCTGTTGATGAAAGTCTTCAACTAGCTGTTGGAATTCCTTTTCATGAGACACTGGCCAAGTTTCTGACCTATACAGAAGAACCGACTTCACATGGATGTTGAAAATACGAATTTTGTTCCTTATGCTGAATGCAGAAAAAAGATTTCCAAAGTGGTTTCAGATTGACGAAGGTGTATCTCGCTCTTCTGATTCTGGTTGGATGTCTCTGACATCTTCATCCATTCCACCTGTAGTTGAATCGATGCTTCCTAGCCAGATAAGTGAAGAAGGCAAACTCTGTTAGAGCTATCCAGTTGATGGTGATGATTGGAGCTGGTTGTTGTTGTTGTTGCCGATATTCGTACATGGTTATCTTCATCACCTGTTTTCGCTGCCTCTTCTGCCAGTTTGTTGGTTTTTGCCTGCCTGACTGAGTGTCTTCGAGTTTGTGTGGCATTAGACATATATCATCAGTGAAATGCAAATCTTCTAGAGTCATCTAATCGGTCGTCCAGCATATTCCCAACTCTTCACCCCCATAAGTCTGACGTATAATCTAGTTGACCACAATTAAGAATATCATCGGTGATAATAGGCAGATAGACAGCCTTGTCTTACTCTTGTATGCACTTTGAACGCTTCACTGTGTGCGTTTTCTGTTGTGGATCACCTGACACGTGACGCTGTCATATAGCCAACTGTTGAGTGAGGGTGACAAAGGCTTGAGGTACGCCGGCCTAAAGCCCAGGTAAAGAGGGAGGGTTACACGTTAGGCAGGCTAGAGAAACTTCAACACATATACCAAATTACTTCAAGTTAATTCTCAGACATTAACAACGCATCTGTACTAGGCATCGATATGTGAACTGAACAGAGACCTCTGATTTAAAAGTGAATCAGTTTGCGGACTATTCATCAGTACACACCCACTGGGTCAAAAACCTAAAACAGAATACTCTACTTTATAAATAGTTAACTGTAGAATACAATAAGTAAAAGGAAAAAAAACTTCAACTTACGGCATTTCTAATTGGTGAACGATACGACCATCCACTGTTGTCACAGTTATTAATACTGCTGTTATTATTATTATTATTAGTATTAGTAGTAATAGTATTATTCAATAAACTTCCTTGTTTTACTGGCTGACATAATATGAAAAGATGAGCTCTTAATTCACTGATTGTATTTAACATTGTGTAACATTCCAACGGAAGGATTAAATCTACAGTTTTAGAACATTTTCGTACCATTGATTCTAGTTCAATCAGTGTACTATGAGAAAAATGTTTAAGAAAAAAATAAATAAAAATAAAGTAACACAACACAAATATAGCGAAAAAAATATTCAGACATCTATAAAACACAAAATAAGTCAGCAAAGAATATCCCCCTTTCGATAAATTCCTCCTCCTCTGGCTCTACAATTATAAATATACACATATGTTTATATAAGTGCGTCGGTGGTATAGCGGTTAGGACGCTCGCCGACCATGCACATGGTCCGGGGTTCGATTCCCGGCCGGCGCACTCCTTTACCTCACTGAGCCAGAAATAATGCTGGTAAAGAGGAACGATCGGGCATGAGGTTAGCAACCCCATCCTCTAAAAGTTAAACACTGCTACAGAAACTTCAAGCCACTAGCTTGGAGCCCTATGTTCCGTGAAGGAAAAATTATTATTATTATGTTTATATACATAGAATATTCTAGATTAGTAGTCAATAACAATATCGGCGTGTTTTTTAAATAATATCGATTTGTAAATTAAGATTACAATAGAATTACAGTTCACAGTAGATGCTTAAATTACAATAATACTAAAGATATAGTAGCGAATAGAATATCAACTAAAATTAGGAAAATTGCACAAAAATTTAGGATCATTCAAACCTAGATGGCCAGTGGGGTAATGATAATGCTTGAAACTGAAATGAAATTACTGGCAATAGTAAACGATGTAACGATTTTCCCTCTTATGATGTTAATGCTCTTAATCGGTCTTTTATACGCTCTCCTTCTACTATAACCACTTCTAATGTTACTAATCATGTAGCTGATAACTTCCAGGACTTTAACACTCTCGATGTTTTTGAAATATCTTAAAACTCTTAAGCCCTCATATTGTTTTGGCCCTGATGGTATACCTGCATATGTTCTAAAACAGTGGACAGGTGCTTTATGTTCTCCTCTAACTAACATCCTGAATGCTTATTTCTGCGAAAACGTTGTACCTGTTCCATGGAAAGACATTAAAATAGTCCCTATCCCTAAACCTGGCAATAGCAAGAACGTAAAGTTCAGACCCATTGCCATCGTTTCCCCGTTTTTAAAGCTGATGGAAAAACTAGTACTTCTTAAACTCGAACCCTCCCTTAAAAGCTTCGAAGACGCCAAACAATTTGCCTACAGACAGGGTAGGAGTACTTTAGACGCTGCAGCCGTCTTACACGACAGTATCGTCTCATCATTAGATAAAGGTCCCAAATACGTCCACTACACGTTTCTTGACTTCACTTCTGCTTTCGACTCTGTACCTAGATGTCTCTTGCTAAATAAGCTCTCCATGACACAAACTGAGTCCTGGGTCACCAACTAGTTGCATTCCTACTTTTCAAACCGAATGCAGTATACCGTATACAAAGGCAAATCCTCATCTGCTGTGCTCACTGAAGCTGGTGTCCCTCAAGGTGCTGTACTCTCCCCACTTCTCTTTTCTTTGTTTATTTCTACATGAGTTATCATCTTCAAATGACATTAATTTTGTCAAATATGCTGATGACCTAACTGCATCTTTGCCTGTCAAATGTCAAAGTGACTGCACTAAAGTAAACGGCTTTTTATCAGAAATCAGCCAACGGTCTAAGGAAAACGGTCTCACCTTAAACCCCTCCAAATGCCAAACAGTCGATTTCACCTTCAGGCACAAATCTGACCTAAACAATCTGGTTCGCGCTCACGAGGTGTACAACATAGATGGATGGCACTGAAATAGGGAGAGACCAAGTCGGAAATTAAATATCTTGGCGTCATTCTATCTGCTGATCTTTCCTGATCGTTTCATATCTTGATGATTTCTAAGAAAATATTCCTTCTTACCTTCTACATCAAGAAATTAAGACATTCTGCAATAACCCAACTCAACCCTTACTCTTACGATTCGCTAGCCCTTGCATCTTGCCTATTATTCTCTATTGTCCCCCTTAGGTTTTCCTGGGCTACTGAAGAAGGAGTATACCTTATTACGCAGGATGTTAAAAGTTGTCAGCAGGGTAAGCAATGTGCCACTTAACCAGCTTGTCAATATTCTGGACTCATGTAAAAATGGGCTAAATCCATTCTATCTATCTAACACACACCACCACCATCTTCATTCACAACTCTCCGCTTGCATCTCATCAGGCACACAGACCAGAAGCCTATATAGAAAACTATATGCTCGCACTAGCGAGTACGAAAACTCAACTGTACCCTACTTAGCTCGTGTTCTGTGCTATAAAGAAAGCATTAGGCATGAAACCTTTAACTTATTAAATAGTCGGTAGAACAACTGGATCTCGTCTTTCCAACTCATATCATTAATAGGCACAACGTTTTCTTTCTTTCTTTTCCTTTTCTCTCTCTTTTTCTTTCTTTTTTCTGTTATGTGCTGCTTTGTTTCTCTCTTCTGTTTACGCCTGTAAATATGCTAGAACCTACTTTTCTAACACCTTCAAACACTCTGTTCAATTTTGGCTTTGCTACCGACATGCTAATATGTTGTTGTCAAAACTAACTGAGATTACCCTTAATCTGTGTAGAATTTTATTTTATTGTTAATTTACTAACTGGATGCAACAATACTGTAGTAAAATGCTGAGAATTCCATTCTGTATCACAAGTACTATTTTGAAATAAAGCTATTATCATTATCATTATCAAACTAACTTCTTTTGGATGCATAAATTAGGCTTGTTAATATGGACGCCAACAGCCAGTCTCAGCAATATTTAGTAGTCGAACTGTTAAGGTGAAATTAAGATTTGTTGGTTGGTATGCGATAAATGACTTTGAAAGCTGCCTAGTTGACATCCATCTTGTGTTCTGTGTATCCACAAGATAAGAAAGAAAAGCGCTATGTGAATAGATTTTGTTTGGCCTTTGCTTAGCAATGCAGGATAAGCTATCAAGTATTGATTCTACAAGGACTTGACTGACTGTTGAAGTGAGATCAAGAACTAACATCAGTTACAGAACAACTGTAAACTGCCATGGAGTAGAGAACAACTGTCGCCTTCTATTTAGGGACTGATTGACTGACTAATCTCTCGGCAGCACGTTAACATGACTCCAAGGCATCACCCCCATGGCTGAATGTCTGTCTGTCTGTCTGTTTTCGACATAGAACTTTCCACATACGTGCGGAAGTTCAAGTCCCCACACTCCGTGTAGCACGTGAAGAAAGAGAAGAAAGTACAAGAAAAGCATAATAGAGACAGTGAGTAGAGGTGTGAGACAAAGGAGGAGTAATAACGAAGAACAAAACAGTTTCATTGGAGATCATAAGTCACAAGGAGTGGATGCATCTGAGCCAGCCAGCCAGCCATTGAGAACGATGTGTTTGAGCCATGTCACCAATTGTTTCCAACCATTGGCTTTTTACCGTCATCCCGAGGACCACAACCAGTCAGGAAGTCTACACCTTCCTACGTGGCTTAGACTAACTGTTGTGGATTTCATTGACTGGTGAAGCCATGTTTTGGTTTGACTGACGCTAGCTTTTTTCCAGCCTGACCCTATATCCGCTAACATTGCTCGTCGAGGGAGGCGATGACTTGGCATACGTAACACATGTCCTAACCATCTCAGTCTTTGTAACTTCATGACTTCATCGATTGATTTCCCCTGTTTACCTAGCACTCGACGCCTAACCTCAATATTGCTCACCTTATTATGCCACTTCACATGGGAGATAGAACGCAGGCACCTATGATCAAAGACAGTTGGCTGGCCTTTCCATGTCTTCCACTCTCAATGGCCAGGTCTCGCTCACAGCTAGCCCCATAAAGGAGGACAGAGCGGACTGATGAGCAGTACACCCGCCCTTTGTTCGATAGTCGAACATCTCGTCTACGCCAGAGTCGGCGTAAACTGGCAAATGCGAAACGAGCCCCCTGTATTCGTGCTGAATGGTCAACACACTCATCCAGTAAGGTGAAAGTCCTGCGTTCAGTCCCCCATAGGATCGTGGGTATGTAGTTCTGATGAATCAATCCCGAACAAGGATGAAACAGCTATCTAGTACTTCATAAGAGTTTCCAATAGTTCTCTAACTCAAATAATTTAACACTTTTACGTCTCAATTCACAGTTCGCTTTTTTAAGTAAAGTTTGGTTTAAATTAAGTATTCAATGGTCAGTAGTAATTTAGTGATGCTAATAGCTGTTTTCCCTACTGGTGCTAATAAAATGCTTTAAAATGACAGTAGTTTAAATATTAATAGAGAGTTTTATATGAGCACAAAATAACCGGGAGAGGGTACAAATTCAGGTGTATCGAAACTGTAAATTACTTCCTCGATGCACAAAATTAATAAAGGCTATTCAGTTGTTAGTTTGTTTAAAGTTCCTTAAATCTATGAACAAAGTTGTGCTTTCAGTCATTTGTTTGAACAAAGCAAGAACTAGAACATTTACGGGATGAAAAGAGATTATTTTGTTTCAAAATAACCCGAGGGTATCGTTTGCCACACATGTATGACCTTTCAAAGACGCAGAAGAAACAAGTCTCTCTGAGACCTATACTTTCGATGATCAACTCTCCCCCAACATATGGTTGCTCGTTGGCTTGCAGAGAAGTTGGAACCAATTCACCAACGGCTAGCTTTGTATACTATGAAAGATTCATCTCATTTCGCTGTAAGTTTGAACGCGGTATGAACGTTTCAAGTAAGTTCATAGCGTCATTTGATGTAATTTCCTTGTTTACAAGGATACCAATCAATGAAACTGTCGAGATCATCTGTAAGCAGTCTGATATTCTCCCACTCCCAGAGTCGAAATTCAAACGCCTAATGCTAATGTGTACCACTAATGTATCATTCCAGTTTGACAATACATTTTACCGTTAAATAGATGGTTTAGCTATGGGAAGTCCACTTAGCTCTGTATGAGCAGATATATTCATGTCCAACCTTGAGAGAACAAAGATGAAGCATGCAATCAATGAAACAACTTCATACTGTCGATATCTTGATGACACATTTATAGTGTGCAACACTGAAAGTCATGCTTTCCATCTACTCGGATTATTCAATGACGCACATACAAATATTAAATTTACTATGGAATATGAAAATAATGGAAAGTTCCATTTTACTTGACATTGCCAAGCAACATCTTGAAGGTGGCAGTCTCCAGATGTCAATTTACCAAAAAACCTAAATGGAATGGACAGTACCTACACATTTGAATAGTTTTTGTTCAAAAAGCTTTAAACGAGCGCTAATCAAGCCTCTCCACTATAGATCAAGGAGAATATGCTCTGAAGAATTTGCAATTCTCGAAAAGATGTTGAAAGGCAACCATTACCCTCAGAGATTCATTAAGAAATATGGAATATATAAAGGCTCAAATATCAAACAAAAGCCTGTCTTCATTCAACTTGATTTTAAAGGTGAAAATATTACAGCAACTGCTAATAATAATAATAATTTTTCCTTCACGTTCCCCAGTGGAACATAGGGCTTCGAGCTAGTAGCTTGAAGTTTCTGTAGCAGAGTTTATTTTACAGGATGGGGTTGCTAGCCTTATGCCCAACCTTTGCTCTTTACCAGAATTATTTCTGGCTTAGCGAGGTAAAGGTGTGCGTCGGCCGGGGATCGAACCCGGACCATGTGCATGGTCGGCGAGCGTCCTAACCGCTATACCACCGACGCAACAGCTAACAGAAGATTAATTCCATCACTTGCTAGAACTTATCCTGCAGCGAAGGTCATACCTCCGATTTTCTGAACATGTATCGAAAAGCATACGTCTCCAGTGGGGAACAAACTATTATAAAAGTCTCATTGCTAGGCATCTCCTTGATACGCGTCATGAAGCAGAAATCGCAAATTCCTTTAAAAAATATCAACCGACAAAAAAAGCCCAATTCTCCTCAAGTTTGCCGAAACAATTTCTATCTGACGCTGGAAACCAGATTTATATGTTCAGAAAGAAGCAGTTATTAGTCTTTTCTTGCCTTGTAAAAGAAACAAGTCCAGCCACCCATTACTAGTGCCCTGGTCGACCTTCAGAAGAGACTAGAAATTCATAAATTTGTATTATTATTATCTTTCCTAATTTGTCTGTCTGATATTCAGTTTATTGTTGTGTTGATGCTATTGAGCTGTAATCCATTGATGCCACTAATATTATTATTGATTCGATGTTATTTAAACAACGAAATTAATGTTTTCAAAAGAATGGATACTGAACAAAGAGTACTCTTTTCGATAACCCCTTCATCATCAGGCTTTACAGTTATATCTACATTATAGTGAATGAATGAATGCATGAATTAGTGTTATGAACAACATTAATGTTGAATCAATAATGACAATAGATTACAGTTCAACAGCATTAACATAACAATACACACTGAATGTCAGAAAAATTAGGAAAGATAATAAATATTACGAATTTATGAATTTCTAGTCTCTACTGAAGGCCGACCACGGCAGTAGTAGTGGGTGGCTGGACTTGCTTCTTTCGCTCACAAAGCACTGTTTGTTTCACGCGAATTGCAATAGCCTCTGCTATTTGCAGCACGCGGTACCTCAATGTTTTTGGGCAATTTATTAGGCACATGGTATATGATAGAGAAGGATTATTCCACGCTGGCTAGCTTTGTGGCCGGTTTGCACCAGATGGTCCAATATCGAACTGGTAATGGTTTTCACTACAAGTTTACTTAGCCAAAGTGGAAAATGTTCTCGAGAGAGCACGAAAAATCAAGTTCCTTGAGAAACGGCTAATATAACTTGCCCTACAAGCGCAGTTGAATTGGTAGATACGATTAGAAGTGACTAGCTAGTCTAGGTACTTCATCTTTCAGTCATGATAGCACCATCGGTCGTGTAGAGAATAGTACATTGAGTTCAAGAGTATTCAAAGTTCTTTGAAGTGATTTTCTTAATTTCTTCGTAATTATCTCGCTTGGTATATCGCCCTTGAATTGTAGTCGTATATATAAAGAGGCTTCTTGTTTACAGATAGTGAGTAGTCCTTTTCCGCTTTCTTTGTCAGGTGTTTCTTGAGAAATTTGTCAGCATAAATATTTTCAATCAAAGTATCATATACAATGCCCAATTCATCTTCGATAACTTTTTTATTTTTTATTTTTTTATTTTTGGTAACAGCTTGATTCCACACTGTATTTTTGGTACAAGTATGGAATTTTCAGTGTGGATATCGGTAGCCCAAATTTCGCAGGCCGACCATAGATATCTGGTGTGCGCCGGTGTGGGCTCGAACCCCGGACCATGTGCATGGTCGTCGAGAGTCCTAACCACTGTGCCACCGACGCACTTCTGAGCATATAGCTCTAACTCTGTGGCTGAGGGTCTGTAAAAATGTTATTGATAACACTACTTCATTCATTTACTTATACATATATATATATATATAACTGTAGGACCTGATGATGATGAAGTTATCAAAAAGAGTATTCTTTGTTCAGTGACCATTTTTTTGAAAACAATTTTAATTGGTATTATTAATCAGTTGAAACTGCTTATAAAAAGTGGAGTAGAACTTACCGTTTTACAGCTTCTCTAAGCATTTGTGCACACAACACACGTACTCTTTCATCAAGTGCATCAGCTATATTCGCCTGAGGCCAATTCAATTCTTGTACAAATCTTTTTAGCTTATATAATCTCCATAGTAAGTCAATAACAGTTTGACATGTTTGACTATTGGTTATATTAAAATTCCCGGATGAATATTGAAAAAGTTCTGTGATTGCTGTTGTTGACGCCGTTGACAATTTCGCCTTGTCTTTAGTATTTAGAGACTGTTCACTTGTACACAACAGTGATGGATTCCAATCAATATCTAGCTGACGAGGATGATGTTGATGATGAGGTGGAGCTGGAGGTGGAGGATGATGAACTACTGGTATATTTAAAGATCGTGTTTCATTGATATTTCCAACATCACCTTTATTAAATGAAGCTAATGAATGACGAGTACGTGTTGATGCATCAGGTTTAATTTGCAGCTGGGAGATATTGTCATGAAGAAATTCTTTTGTACCTTATTTAAAGAAGAATGATCATACGTGAAAGAAATTCTATTAAAGAGTATGATTTAATAAGGGTATATCAGTGTACATAAAATATATGCGAAAGATAATGATACATAATTAGATACACATTTATAACCCATTCCCGGTACATCGATGCTTCAGTGATAGAATACTTCCCAACGTCGTCTCACGTGGTCAGCTGACTCACTTTTGAATCTCACTTAGCCGGAAGTCAGACCGGTAGAGTTGAAAGTTTTGGGCATCCGGGTAGCGACCCCACCCAGTAAAAATAAAGGTCTCTATCTCTCAAACTTCAAAGCTCTAACCTGAAACCCTCTGCTTCCCTCGAAATGCAAAGGATTAGAAGGCTAGTACAGACTTTCGTCAACAGCTAACACATAATGCTGGATCGATACAAAAGATCAGATAGGCGGATAAAAACGACAGGGTGAAAAAGAATTACAAAGAACAGAATGACAGCCAATAAATTACTGCTCAGAATATATGAAGGAAGTGAAAGATGGACTAGACATAGGTCGAGGAGACATTCACAAGTGATGTCACACTTCAAGTCCTCAAGCGATAACCAAATGAAGAGCGACGGTTTAGGTGAGACTATGAAATGAATAGTTGTTATTATCTACAGCATGCCCTCAGTCTTTAATTTTTTAATTTTAATTTTTGATTACAGCTTGATTCCACACTGTATTTTTGGTACAAGTATGGAATTTTTAGCATGGATATCGGTAGCCCAAATTTCGCAGGCCAACCATAGATATCAGGTGTTTGCCTGTAGTGGGTCTAACCTCAGACCACGTGCATAGTCGGCGAGAGTCCTAACCACTGTGGCACTGATGCACAACAGGATGTCGCTGCCAGCCTCATTCAACAGCTGGCTATTTGACAATGCCACATGTCAGGTGATCCACAACGGAAACCTCGACGAAACGTTCGAAGTGAATACGAGAATCAAACAAGGCTGCCTGCTTACTATGACCGATGATATTCCTAATTCTGGTCGACTGGATTATGTGGGAGACTGTGATTGGTGCAGTGCGAAGACTAGAATACTCTGGACCACCAACAAGAAGACTCTAAGAGATCTCGATTTCGTGCATGATTTATGCTGTATGTCAAAAAAAAAAACTCGAAGACTTGCAGGCAAAAAATCCAAAAATGTGGATGAAAACCCTGTGAACATAGAAAAGCCGGAGGTTATGAAGAGATAACCAACCAACAAAATTGACAGCACCAATCACCATCGACAGGAGAGATTTAACAGAGGTTACTCCCTTCATTTATCTATGAAGCACAGTTTCAATCACAGGCCGGTGGAACGGATGAAGATGTCAAAATCAATCAGAATCGGAAAGGTAAGATATGCCTTCATCAACCGGAAACCAATTTGCAAATCTCCTGCACTCAGCATAAGGAACAAGATTGGCATTTTCAGCCCCAATGTGAAGTCGATTCTTCTATGCTGATCAGAAACGAAAGGGATTTCTAACAAGTTTCAAAGCTTTATGAAAAGCGACATACTTTGCTGGCTCAATAATGAAGATCAAATGACCAGAAAAGCCTAAAAAACAAGAAACTCTGTCTGGGAACAAACCAACAGGCGAGAGCCGATTGCTCAACAAATATGTAGGAGAAAGTAGAGATGGATTCGATATACGTTGAGGAGGCCATCGGATGATGTCGTGCACAATGCAGGCCATCGCTCGAGTAGAATCCCAATGGGAAGCGACGAGTTGGTTGTCAGCGTGAAGATGACATGGAGGAGATTGTGTATCCAGGGAGGAGATGGGAGATTATGGTCAATCCAAGGACCCAGCTGAAGAGGACATCAGAGAATAGATCAAAGTGGAGATGTGTTTTTGAAGCCCTATATCCCTAAGGGCAATAATAATATTATAATAATTATCCACAACATACGAGGTTTCTTCGCAGAACCAGTTCAACAATAAAGTGCAGGAAATCGTCTCATATGCACCACTATTAAACACGAATTAGAATAAATTATGACTCTAAAATGGTAGGCAGTCTTCACGACGAACTCAACTGTACTTTAATTTGACACCAGGTAGTTACCAATATCATACATCTACTCCCTGGGGTTAGTGCTAACTGAATTCTGTCAGTCAAGTTAACAATGTAGCCACCGTGCTAGGTGGATAACCATCACAGTTTACCCCGAACTGTGATATTAATCAGCAGGAAACGTTAAATTTAGGTTTTGTGCTTATTCATACTCGTTTGTAAGGCTTATCTATAATCTTGTATGAACTCATGTCCTTCCTGACCTAGGTCAGTATACTCATGAAATTTCCCCCTAGTTTTACCTAAAGAGATACAAAGAGAAGCTTTCAAATAATAAACAGGATATATTCAGTAACCCGACCAGATGAATTTCACCAGTTGCATGCAAGAAATGAAATGCCTATCAACAACAATGCCAGTTAGTTGATTCAAAGGTACACCACACTCACTCTGCCTACTGCCTTCAGTCTCTCAAGTAATAGTGACATAGTCTCTTTCGAGAAGTCAGGGGAAGAATAAAGAGGAACAATAAAGAAGGCAGAAAGCTTCATTATGTAGTAAGTCAGAAGAATAATTGTTTAAAAACCTATAAGATGTGAGATCACTAACAAAAAGATTGAAAGAGAAATTGATACCGTGATAGGCAATATTCGATTTATTTCCTATCACAATCATGTCGATATTACAGCTATCATGGGGCTAAATCAATCCAAAAAGTTACCATTCCTATCTGGAAACACTACTTGATGAGTTGAGCCCAATATATGACAGAAACTGTGCACTACTCAGTGTTCAAATTTCTCCTCGATTTTGATTAGCAAGCAATACAAGATTTTGGCTATACAGTAGAATAAGTTGATATTAAGACGGACAAGTTTCTTTGTTGGTGATGTAGTCATGATTTAGGCATGCACCGAAGTGATAATCTGATTGAACAGGCTTAAATTCCTGAACTTTTGTAAATACGATATACTATATATTTTGCCTAACAAACGTTTTCGTGATAGGCTGAGTGTTGTGTTTGTCTTAGAGTGGAAGATGCTTGTTGTCTGTCTGTTTTCGACATAGAACTTTTCACAGATTTGCAGCGGTTCACGTCGCCACACTCCCTCCATGTACCACACAAAGGAAGAGAAGAAAGTAGAAGAAACGTATAATGGGGACAGTAAACAGAGGTGTGAGACAAAGGAAGAGTAATAACCAAGAACAATATAGTTTCATTGGAAATCATAAGCCGCAAGGAGTGGATGCATCTGCGCTAGCTATTGAGAAGGATTTCGAGCCATATCACCAAATGTCTGCAGCCTTGATTGGTGTTTGCCGTCCCGAGGACCCCAACCAGCTAGTCAGAAAGTCTACACCTTCCTACGTGGCTTAGACTAACTGTTGTGGATTTCATTGACTGGTGCCATGTTCTGGTTTGACTACCACTGGCTAAATCTTTTTCAGTCTGACTTTATGTCAGCTGACATTGCCCGTCGAGGAAGGCGATGATTAGGCATGCGTAGCACATGTCCTAAGCATCTCAGTCGATGTGCCTTGACAGCCTCATCGATTGATTTCCCCTCCCACTTAACTAGCACTAGAAGCTTGACCTCAGTATTACTTGCTGTAAAATACTACCTAACACAAGAGGTGGAACTTATACACCTATGATCAAAGATAAGTAACAGGTTTTTTCATGTCTTCCACTCTCAACGGCCATGTCTTGCTCACGGCCATGAAGAAGGACGGAGCGGACTTCTAAGCAGTACACACGCCCTTTGCTTGACAGCCAACCGGATATCACGTATATGCTAGAGACAGCGCAAACTGGCATATACGAAACTAGCCCTCTGTATCCGTGCTCAGATTTCGTCAGAGATCAACTCGTTGGCATTGGCTGATGCAACTTCCCAAATACGTGAAGTGATCAACCTGCTCTACCACTTCACTCCCTAATTCTAAACTAGGAGTCGGTTTAGTCCAGTCCTGTAACATCATCTTACATTTGTTTCATATGTTTCTTTCGTTTCACCCCTTGAGTTCCTTGTAGAGCATAGGGCTTCAACTTTAGGCTCTGAAGTCTCAGTAGTGTCCACCTTGTTTTTCTATTATTGGGTGAGACTGTTAGTTTCATACCTCTAACCTTTGCTATTTCCAGGACTTAATATGGATTAGTAAACTAGGTTACGTTTAGGAGTACTGTGGCCAGAAATCGAATGGGGACTCCTCGGGAACCATCGACGCCCAATCTAATAATGAAGGTAACATTTGAAGATGAACAAAATACTACAGTAATAATAATAATAATAATATTCACTACCAGTCAGTATATGCAATATCTTACCTTCATTTCTGTTTAATTTCGTTGCAGGAGTCCATCGTTCATTTTTAAATCCATCTATCAGTGCATGCTCAACAGAATCTGACATTAGTCCAATATAACGGTCTACTAAAGGCGTGAAACGATTGGCTAACTCTTGATGAAATCGACCATTAGATAAATTAGCTAGAAAAAAAACAAAAAACAAAAACAAAAATAATATGACTGAATTAATATCATTAATATTATATCCTTTAGTTCCTAGAGGAACATAGGCCTTCAGCTGTGCACCTCCATTGCCTTCGGTTTTCTGCCAACTTTTTCACCCTGCTCCAGGTCTGTCCACATACATTCATCTCCTCCTCTTCACATGACCTCCTCCAAGTCACCCTTGCACTGACGACCAACTCGCCGCTTCCCTTTCGGGTTCTACTCGAGCTATGGCTTGTCTAGTGATGTCACTTGATGGTTTCCTCAGAGTATCGCCAGTCAATCCATCTCCATTTCTTCCTACCTATTTGTTTAACAGTCGGTTTCTGCTGGGTTGGTTCATTCATTGCCAGAGATCCCCGTTGCCGATCTTTTCTGGCTGGCCATCTGATCGTGAGTATTGAGCGAAGACATCAGTTGATGAAGGTGTGTAGCTTGTTTGAGGTGCCCTTCGTGACACGCCAAGTCTCTGATCCGTATGGTACCACTGACTCCACATTGGAGTTCGAAATCCGGATCTTATTTTTGATTCTGAGTGCTGTTGACCTCCACACAGACTTGAGAGTAATGAAAGCTTGCCTTGCTTTTCCGATTCTGGCTTTGATATCCTCGTCAGTTCGGCATGTAGTTGAAACGATGCTTCCCCGGTAGGTAAAAGAGGTTGTTTCTTTCTGGTTCCTCTCATTTATGCTGATTGTTGTCTGTTGTTGTTGTTGCTGTTTGTGGTGTTGGCCAGGAATCTTCATCACCTCTGTTTTATCTATGTTCACCTGAAGTCCAGTCCTTGATGCTTCTTATGCTAGCTTGTTGCTTTCCACGTGCATATCTTACGGTTGGTGGGAAATCAGACATATATCATCGGCAAAGTCCAGATCTGATAGGATCCCACATATTTTGGTATTGACTGTTTAATCTTGCATATATGGTATGTTATCATTCTCACACATTTTGGTAGTGACTGTTAATCTTGTATATATGGTATATTATCATTCTCACACATTTTGGTAGTGACTGTTAATCTTGTATATATGGTATATTATCATTCTCACACATTTTGGTAGTGACTGTTAATCTTGCATATATGGTATATTATCATTCCCACACATTTTGTTAGTGACTGTCAATCTCGCACATATGGTATATTATCATCTCTCACGCACTTTGTTATTGGCTATTAAGATCAATTATTTCAAATGCTGTTAGCTGTCCATATGGTTGTAAAATGTATAAATACCATGGCTTTCTTTATCGTTGTTTCACTTCAATACACAGTCACAGTCCAGCCTTTGTCTTTTGATATTTGCGTGCTTTACTAAATCGGAAGGTACGACAAGCAGACAGGCAGATTAGTTCAGGCGCAGACAGAGCAAGGTGAAAACGTCTTCCTTGAATTCCCTACAGTTATAACAAATTGGCGACGGGGATTTACTTTAATTCAGTGCAGTTATAACAATTGGCGACGGGGATTTACTTTAATTCAGTGCAGTTATAACAAGATCCTCCAAGTTTGTCTTTGTGTGAGTCCATTTTATGCCTGTTTCCTCATTGGCCGTTGTCTGTCCCATGATCCAATCTACTGCAATCAGGAAGATCATTGGCGATAGTAGGCAGCCTTGTCTCATTCCCGTCCTCACTTCGAAGGCTTCCGTAAATTTCCCGTTGTGGATTACTTGGCATGCAACATTGTCGTATAACTGTTGGATGAGATGTATAATTGTCGATGGGACCCCTTGGTAGTAGCGAAGTAGTTTCCAAATCACCTCTCGATCGACGCTGTCGAAGGCCTTTTCAAAGTCGATGAAGCTGAGCGAGGTAGAGAGGTGACTGCCATTCCAAGCTTTGTTCAATGATGATCCGTAGAGTGGCGATTTGGTCAATACATGATTAGTTTCTCCTGAATCCAGCTTGTTCCGGTCGGAGATTTTCATCCAGATTGGCGTGTTTGATTCTCTCCAGGATGATGCAGCTTAATATTTTGCTTAAGATGGACAGAAGCATAATTGCGAGCCAGTTCTTGCATTGACCTAAGTCTCTTTTCTTTGGCAGTTTGGATAAGTACCCTTTCTTTCATTTCTCGGTTACCTTGCTCTCCTACCACACCTTCTCCAGTAGTGGTGTCATCAAGTCCGCTGATGTCTCTGGGTCTATTTTCAATGCTTCTGCTGGGATTCCATCTGATCCTGCTGCTTTTCCAGCTTTTAGCATCTTGATTGCAGTCAGGATTTCTGCTTTCGTCGGGGGTCAATGTTCACTGGTAGTTCTGATTCGGTTGTTGGTATTATTTGGCGCCTTGTAGGTGGTAGGTCGATTTAGAAGTCTTTTGAAGTGTTCAGCGCAGTATTTCCTCTGCTCCACCTCTTTGTCAGGATGGGTAAGGCGAACAGAAATTTATTGATCTAAAAACATTGTGGAAATCTTATTCTGTCAGCAAAAAGAACAAGATTCCGATTGTCAACACAATCAGTTCTTTAGTATGATTGAGAGACTTGATGTCATGATAGGTATTTCCAATGGCCCGCCGCTGAAGACTTTTGTCAACAGATAACCACTTCGATCTACACTGATGATTAGATGGCCAACCAGAATGGGTTATCAATAAAAAACTGTGGCAACGAACTAACCAACACCCATTTGTGCAAAAAATGTCCTCAAGAAAATATAGACGGTTCAGACACACAATGAGAAGAAATCATGCGCCCGACAGGCCCTCGACTGTAACCCCAATGGGCAGCAGGTGACTAATTGGATACCCGAGGGTAACATGGAAGAGGTCGTGTGGGGAAGAGATGAAAGCTTATGGGTAAAAGTGGAATGACCTAAACAGCACTATAGAGAACAGATTGAAATTGAGATATTCTGCTTAAGCACTATCTTCCATTCAAGACCGAGGAGAATAAGTAATGAGAATAATTATAACTTATAGAAGGAATACTACATTAGTTGGCGGATTTCATTATGAGGTGACATCAGTTAGATAACTCGCAGAAAACCTAGAAGTACTGGACAACTGTTTCGTCAGCCTAGTTTGGCAATCTTCATCAGTACTCACGCGACTCTAGGTTTTGAACTCAGGATCTTCTGGTTACAAGGCGAGCAGTCCATAGACCACTAAGCCACTGAAATTCGATCTTATGGTCAGTCCATGAATTCTAACTTTAGCCAATCTATGACATAGCGCGACCACTTCGAAATGTCTACTTTGATAAGTTACTGCCTCACCTTCAACCGGCTGCACCCTACTGGTCACGGCTTGAATAGGGCCAGTCGCTATTGAGTAACAGATTAATTTTGAAGTATTGATTTTCTAGGGATTTTGCTTGACTGGTTGGAGGAGTTCATCGTGAGCTGACATCGGTTAGAGTTCGTCTTATAACCAGAAGGTCCTAGATTCAAGCCCCTCTGGGGGGGTGCGTACTGCCGAAGAGTTCAAAACTAGGCTGACGGAACAGATAGCAGTCCAGTACACCGAGATGGTGCCAGCTCATGATGATATCCTCTAAACGATCAAACAAAATCCCTACTTCAAAAAAAAAAATTAATACTACATTAATTATATTGGAATTCAAAAGATAAATCTTGACATAAACTAAAACAAATAGTATCTACATGCATTGAACATTGAAACATTTGCACATTTTTTCAATTTATATTAACTTACCATTACTTAAAAGATAATTATTAAGCAATTGAAATAAATCAAATACTTCCCAACAATCTTCTGGTAATCTATCCAATAGTTCAAATAGATCCATTTGAAAGAGATACCAAAAATTTTCTGTATGTTCAATGAAAAGATCATTGAACCATGCGAATGACTGAGAACAAAAAACCGAAACCAACAAAAATAACAACCATAACAATAAATTTGTTTGACATAGAAGATAAAGATGAAACACGTTAAGTGATGTTAATTTAAATTGTACCTGAGATACGAGATTACAAGATTCTCTTTACATGCAGATTTTATACGAGATGAAGGATGTTGACGAGTACTGAAGATAGGCAATAATAAGACAATTCGTACACATATCCTTATATGCTCAATTTACTCCTTCGATTATTATTATTATTATTCCCTTGTGTTCCGAGTACAGCTAAGGGCTTCAACAATACCTCTCCACTTTGTTATGTTTTCTGTCGTCCTCTTCATCTACGTCCACGATTGATCAAACTTTCTCATCTCTTCCTCACACGATCTTCTCCATGTCACCGTCACACCGACAACCCATTCGTCGCTTCCCAATTCTATTCCACTCGAGCAATGGCCGAGCAATGTGCGATGTCGTTCGGCGGCCTCTTCAATTTATCCCCATCCATCTCCACTTTCTTCTACATCTATTTGTTGAGCGATCGGCTTTCTCCCGTTGGTTTGTTCACAGTCAGAGTTTCTTGTTGATTATGCATTCCAGTCGGCCATTTGATCTTCAGTATGTAGCGAAGGGGGGCGGCTGTTGATGAAAGTCTGCAATGACCTGTTGGAAATCCTTTTCATGGTACACTGGCCAAGTTTCTGACCCGTATAAAGGAACCGACTGCCTTCACATTGGTGTTGAAAGTCCGAATCTTCCTCCTTATGCTGAGTGCAGAAGATTTCCAAACTGGTTTCAGATTGACGAAGGCAAATCTTTCCTTTCCGATCCTGGTTGACTTTGACACCATCATCATCATCATCATCCGTGCCGAATACCTGTGGTTGAGACGATCCTTCCTAGATAACTAAAGGAAGTAACCTCTGTCAAATCCCTCCTATTGATGATGATTGGTGCTGGTTGTTGATGTTGCTGTCAATGTTGTTGGTTGATTATCTGCATCACCTCCGTCTTCTTTATGTTCATCTGGAGTCCTGTCTTCGCTGGTTGCTTGTGTCAGCTAGTTTGCTGGTTTTCGCCTGCCGATCTACGAGTTTGTGTGACGTATGGCATATATATAATCAACGAAATCCAGACCTTCTAGAGTCTTCTTGTTAGTCAGTACAGCATATTCCTGTCTTCTCTCTCTCTCTCTCCCCACTTACAGTCTGACGCATAATCCAGTCGATCACAATTAGGATATCATCAGTGATAATAGGAAGTCAGCATTGTCTTATCCCTGTATTCACCTCGGATGCTTCTCTGAGTTTTCCGTGTCAGGATCACCTGACACGTGGCATTATCGTATAGCTGTTAATTCTAAGAATTGATGAACCAAAATTTAAAATTTCCAGAAGGTGAAAATTTACCCCAGTTTCTTTACAATACTCAAATTTTCAGGTCACACTGGTATTCTTTGTTCGTCAGGTGAAAATGATCAAAATTTCACTTCCTCGGACGGTAAAAGTTGGAAATTGAGATTGATCGATTGAATTACTGACTCCCCCAAGTGGCTGACCAGAAATCAGATGGTTTGAACTGACTAAGTACTCCGATAAGAGTCAAATCTAGTAGGTTTGGCCCCAAACTGGTGAAACGCATGTTGGTGTTTAGATGACTTCAAGTTGTCTAGGACTTACTACTGGTCAATTTGAGTGGTATACGACTACTCATCTCAACCAATCAGTAGTATAAGATGTCATATATCTAACTTTTGTTAGTTTGCATAAGAATCTCCTGCTAATCAGTGACTACACACAGTGGATGTTGTGAAGTTCTGACGAATAGTTGTAGCGGGTGAAGCAGATGTGAACTCGACGTTCATCCATGGCATTTAGTTCATCTGGTGTCACTCCTTTAATCAAATGATCAGTACCTCCATATACACACTTCAAAAAAATAATAACCTGAAATGTTCAGTTAAGTACACTATTCCAAGGCAAAGTATAGATATAATAATCATAATAACGTGGGATTTCATCATGAGCTGACATCAGTTAGGGAACCACTGGAAAACCACCTGGGAGTACTGGAAAGCTGCTTCGTCCTAGTTTGGGACTTTCCATCAGTACGCATCCACCGCCACAGTTCAAACCCAGGACCTTCTGGTTACAAGGCGAGCTAGCTCGTAGACCATTAAGCCACTTGGACCTGATCCAATGGCCAGCCAACCCATGAATTCTAACTTCTGCCAATTCCCGACATAGCGCGACCGCTAGCCAATGTCTTCGGCGGTGAGTATTTGTCCTCACACCCGACCTGCTGCACCCTACTGGTCACGACTTCTCACTAGAACCCCAGATTACTACTTACCTACCTGAATAGGGCAAGTCGCTAGTGAGCATCTCATTGATATTCAAGTGTTGGTTTGTAGGGATTTGATTGATTGGTTACAGGATTTCATCACGAGGCTGACATTAGTTAGTTTCCAATCGTTCTCTAACCAGCTAATGTCATCTCATGATGAAATCCTGTAACGAATCAATCAAATCCCTACAAACCAACACTTGAATCATAATAATAATAATTATTATTATTATCAATATAGACGACAACTACCTCACCTCAGCATGATGTTGTTCATTCTGTTTTAAAACTTCAATACAAAGTTCAGCTAAATGAAACATTTCACAGATTTTCTTATTTTCTTTTTTACCACCTATAAAAATTGAAACAGTAAGAAAAAAACATCAAATTAACACCTTCAAGATAAAATGCAAGATGAAGAATTAAAGAAAACAACGCGGTCTTGAAGGATAACTTTTACCTATCACCTTTTTATAAAAGAAGTAATCAGTGAAGGGTAAAATAATAAAAATAAATACACGTGCTTCGGTGGTGACACAGTGGTAGAATGCCCCCGCCCAACCATGCCACATGTGGTTCGAGGTTCGATCCCCGGTCACCAACGTACTCCTCCTTTCCCTCGCTCACTAAGCCAGTAATAAGACTGATAAAGAGGGAAGGTTGAAAGGCATGCGGCTAGCAATCCCATTCCGTAAAAATTAATAGACACCACTGCTACAGAAACTTGAAAGCTCAAGGCTGAACCCCTATATGTTCTACTTGGAATGTAAAGGAATTTTAAAAATTATAAAAAAAAATACATGAATACACCAGGCAATATGAATTCAACAGAAAAGAACACGAAACTCAGTTAAGGTTAGTTTTGCAGAGAGTGAGGTAAAGTTTAACTCCTTTCTATGTAAGGCCTTGTCATACAATCCCTGAAAATACTAGCGTATATATATATATATATATATATAAACGGGCAACTATATGACATAACCCTTTTTTAAAGTGGCATCACCCATTTTATCCACTGGGTATAAGCGCGTTTCAGTAAATAAGGTCAAAATATACATAGACCAGCGTGACTTCATGAAAATTCAATCAAATACTTTTTATTAGTTGGTTTGTGAGATTACGCTTGTTTTGACGAGTTGATCACGGACTGATATCAGTTAGAGAACCATTGAAAACCAGCACCGGAGTATTGGACAACTGTTTCGTCAGCCTAGTTTGGGAATCATCGGCAGTACACATTAAGTGACAGCGTTCAAACTCAGGATCTTTCGACTACAAGACAAGCTTGTTTACCATTAAGTCAGTGTTCGCGTTAAATCACGAATTGGGCCTCCATTGAACCAGGTCCTAGTAGATGAATGGTATACGATCTTGCCTTGTAACCGGAAGGTCCTGGGTTCTGAAGATGATTCCCAAACTAGAATGAAACAGCTATCCAGTAATCCTTGATGGTTTTCAAAGGTTCTCTAACTGATATCGATCAGTGATCAACTCGTCAGAATCAATAACATACGTTTAGTTTTTGAACTTGTTACCTCCACAAATCTATTACAAAGCACAGATGTCGGTATCAAGTGACATTTTCTGATAAAAGTGCAGCAAATGTTTCACTGTCATTAAACCACCATAACAATGGACCATGACGCTACAAGTAGCATAGATATGGAATAAAGACATATATATATGTATAAACACAATATCACCGCTAGAACCGCATTGTTCAAGTCAGGATGTAAACAAGTGAGCGAATTATTATAATCCTGAAGACAGTTGGATTTCCGTATATCACATAGGAATCAGACTCTAGTCTACAACAGGACTAACACGTAATTAAACTAAAGTCTCATAACAATGGGATAAAAAATACTTAAAAAATGGCTGTGAGTATAGACTGCTATTCAAAAATATAACTGGGAAATTAAAGCCACAAGCAATAGAGCAAATTCAGTAGGATTCCTTGCATGGAAATTAGGTAACTCAGTGATTTCTAAAGGTCATCGACGCATTTTGATGGATGTGAACAGTCTTCAGATTAGCCTTTTTAAAGTTGTGGAAAATATCCACCAGGACATTAGAGAGAGAGAGAGAGGGGGGGGAGAGACGAACAAGGCAGTCAGCAAAGAGATACTTTTTTCGGCAATTTCATGCTCAAAATCAACTGTACAATCGCATATAAAGGCTATCATAGCTATAATTTTTATTTTATTCAGCGTAGTAAAGGAGGGAGGTGAAAGGAGATAACAATAATAATAGTAATTATTTTACGTAATACGCATCTGTTTTCTAATCTTGTGTAATTTTGTTCCCATAACCCTTTTAATTTATTATTATTATTCTTGATTCATTTAAAACTATCCTTTATCAATGAAAACAAAACACGTAGATCAGCGAAGAGTCTCTTTTCGGCGAATTCATTTTCTTAGCTGTACAATCGCAAATATATATGCATTGTTTTGTATGTATGTGTACATTAAGTTTGTCAAACAAAGTTACAATTGGTTAAGGTTACTTTTAACTAAACAAGTGAAGGTTGGTAATACAGGTTAAGAAAATTAAGTGCTAGGGTAGTAACAAAGGTGATGAGTTGTCACAAACAGTTGTTAAAAGAAGTTATGCAATAATAATATGAATAGTTTGATGAGTGAGTTTTACTCAGGATGCACATAGAAACAAAGTAGATAATACGAAACTATGTAAGAGATTTAAGTGAATACAAGAATTATAAGCAATTAAGGAACAGGCAAAGAAACAAAATTAAGTCATCAAAATAAAAATAAAAGCTCAAAACAAATCAAAACATTGTTACCATGAGAGTAGAAGTGGTTGAGTAATCTTCTTTTGTATGCACAGCTCCGGTTTTTCCATGTGAATGGCCAGAGCTTCAGCGATGCAAAGGAGACGAAACCGTATTGCCTTTGATATGTTATTCTTGACTCTGTAGATTACTTTGAAGGAGGCGTTCGTTGAAATGCAATGATCAGTGTTGACCAGGTGTTAAATTATCGCACTCCTTATTGCACCAGTATTGCCTTTTAGCAACCATGCTGGATAATGTTCTTGAATTCTCTTGGACAGGATGCGCGTCGAACGACCGATGTACCTGGCTCCACAGCAGCAGGTGAACTGGTATATGCACATAGAAGTGGCCAGATGCGGGATCTTGTCCTTGAGGCTTCTGCAGATCAGTGGGCGACTGGAGAACACTATTCGTAGCGTTGCTGCAAAGAACGTTCTTCTCAGAGATGATGTGATCCTTCTCTTGAGAATATCGCTTGCTAAATCTCCCTTGAAATCCAAATTCATGTAGATTTTCTTTTTAGGCGCAGTTAAAGTTTCGTTTTTCCGAATTATTGGTTTGATATTTTTGTCGATAAATCTTATTGGGTATCCATTTTGGATGAAGATTTCTCTCAGAATATCTAATTCTGTTTCCAGAACGTCGGGACTACAGATGCGTCGGATGAGGGTAGCAAGTGATTTAATTAAATTTCGCTTTTGTTGAGTGGGCACCCAGCTATAGAAGCTTGTTAGTTGACCATTCCACGTAGGTTTTCTATGGATTGATCTTCTTAGGCTCCCATCAACTGTTTGTGACAACTCATCATTTTTTTACTACCCTAGTTTCATTAGCACTTAATTTTCTTAACCTGTATTACCAACCTTCACTTGTTTAGTTAAAAGTAACCTTAACCAATTGTAACTTTGTTTGACAAACTTAATGTACACATACATACAAAACAATGCATATATATTTGCGATTGTACAGCTAAGAAAATGAATTCGCCGAAAAGAGACTCTTCGCTGATCTACGTGTTTTGTTTTCATTAATATCCTTTATCAGTAGGATTATCTTAACTCACTTCAACATTATTATTATTATAACTATTACTATTGATATTACTCTATTTGCGATTCTTGTTATATTCTCCAATGACTAATTTTTCATGTAGGTGATGTAATTGAAGCGTGTAACACTTTATCTTAATTTTAATCTGTCATACTCCCTCTCCCCTTATCTATTTGAACATGACCTGGAAAACATTCGCACCTGTCTTTCTGCATGACTAATTCAATGTAGTTGATTTGCTCATCAGTCTTATATCTCCCAATGTAATTTCAAAAGTATATATATTCTTGTATGTAGAGTACTGAGAAGCTGAAGAGTTCTACAGAAATTTGATGAATTCATCATTAATTACTGCCTTATTAACCTTTATTGCTTGTTTTAAATTCGTATCGGGAAAGAAATGTTTTCACTTCTTTTAATTCATATTTACACGCTAAAATTCTCACACCTAATTGAATATAAATTATCACCTTCAATCTCCGTTCATTATAATGTTGAATAAACTAGTGTATAACGACTATGTAGGTTTAATTCGTCGATGATTCAGTGGTAAAATGATCATCGGCTACACTTCACTACACGCGAGTAGGTGTTCGATTCGCTCCCGATGCACTCCTAGACATCTCTCAGTCGTTAATAAGACCGGGAAAAACGGAATTTTGGGTGTGAAGTTTGCAACCCTACCCGTTTCCTCCTCTCCCAGTAAAAATAACACCACTCCTAGTGAAACTTCAAAGTTCAAGAGGCTTGAAGCTCTATGTTCCGCTGGGGAAATGTGAAGGAATACAATGTTCTAAAAAGTTACTTATGTATAAACATGGGATTGTACAGCTGTTTTTTAAGGATAAAGTCACCGAAAAAGATATTTGTTGGCTGTGCTTTTTAATTTTTTCTCTCTTTCGTATACAATTGGTGGATGGTGGCTAGCAGTGGAATCCAGGAAAAAGCGCATTTCGTCCTATTTGGGACTCGTCAGCTGGATGTACCTGCATTTCTCAATGAGTGATGATGTTCCCACCGAGTCTCGAACCCAGTACCCATGGTTTCTTTAATGTTCCGGTGGATATTTTCCACAATTTGAAAAAGGCCAATCTAAAAACTGTTAACATTCATCAAAATGCGTCGATGATCTTTAGAAATCGCTGAGCTATCTAGTTTCCATGTAGGAAATCCCACTGAATGTACTCCATTCCGTGTGATTTAAATTTCCCCTGTTTATACTCATGATCATTTCCTAAGTAGTTTTCATCCAGTTGTTATGAAACTTAAGTCTAATTACGTGTCAGTGCTGTTGTGGACTAGAATCTGATTCCTATACGACATGCGAAAATCGAACTGTTATCACAATTTCTAACGTACCAGTACGTTTTTCGCTACTTTTCATTTTCAGTAGAACATCCGGCTTCAAGCTTTCATGTTTTCGTTATGGTGGTATGGTGTTTACGCGGTAGGGATCCATATGTATACTGGAGTTTTAAGGAATCGTGTGACATGAATTACATCAAAACAAGCTGAAATGTGGTTTATTGTCTCTATAAAACCAGTGAAGGACAAGTTATGACTGTTGGCCTCATCAATACGTCTCTTGTGAAACAAGTTATGTCAGCAGTACTCACAGTTTGCTTTCTAAACATTTCATGGAGCCTTTACCTCCATGATTTTATAAAGGTGATAAAATATCTCCCCGTAATCCTTTATTTTGGAACACTCGACTGATTTCAGATGTCAAATGAACTAACAAACTAATTTTAAAGTTATCTACAAAAATGTGTAGGAACCTTGCCAAAGGTATACAACACGCATGCATGACAATTCATATGCTAAAGCGTGAATTAATCCAGACTATAGGTGAGGGCTCAGGCATTAAATTTATGATGGACCCCTAATTTATGTAAACATTTAACCTGTAACTCTTTTATTCTTTTCACACTATTGTATCTCTACACTTTATCATGCTGGTTGTAACCTTGTCTCAATTTTATCTGAAATGCATTCAACCCTATTAACTATGTTATATCAGACAAGTTAATCATTTAATTTTCCTTTAACTTGTATTCGACGATTGTTCCAGCAGTTACGTAGCCTTCAGTCAGATCTCTTGATTGCTAGTTAAAGCTTAAGTAGTTCTAACGACAGATGTTCAGAAATATTCCATTTATTAACAAGACAATGTACTGCATACACACATTCATGCAGTTGTACAGTTTATATACGGTGTGTCGTTTAAAGTAAGAACTCTTAGCTGAATACCACAACGAAATACCGATCCGTAGAGAACGCGGAACAACATACTATATACAGATTAATGTCTAATTTATGAGAATTTCAGGCTACACGAACGATGTGGGCGGGAGACTGATGCCATTGTCCAGTAGTCCTAGATGGGATGGAAGGGGAGGTCTTCGAACACGTGACCCACTGACTGAAAGGTTAGGGAATGCTTAAGCCAGTGAACCACAATTTCACATACACACACACACTACCAAACGCCACTCAAAATAAAGGAGGAATCAAAACTGATCACTAAACCTGTTTTAGTGACTCAATAAATAGTGAAACAGGAAGTACACTTACCTTTAATACGTGGACCGGTAACAACTGTGTAAAAGGAAACAAAAGAAAATTAAATATTGACTCAAAAGGATACAGTGTTAATTTAATATAATAAGTATACTGAAAAATTCCTTGTCATTTGAAGCAGTTGGGGCCAGGTACTAGTATCCTCAGTGGAAACATCATCTGTCATCATCATCGTCATCAACATTATCACTGCTACTGCCAACTATGCAGGAGGCCAAGGTTCAATTCCTGATCAACTCAGTCGTGAACCTCTCCCAGTTTACCGGCTGGTAGTAAAGCCATAAAAGAGGGAAGGTTTGGCATGAGGCTGATAACTCCACCCGGATGACAAACAACAGCATCACTGTTACTGAAACTTGTAGGCTTGAAGGTAAATGTTGCACATGGAACACGAAGAAATGCGAAAAGCTTCAATAATTCTGATGAGAAGTTTAAATTACTTAAAATTCAAGTTGAACTTGATATGATTATGAGTGGTAATAGTTTGTGCTCGAAGCGTGGTCATCAGTTAATATTACTCTACAACACTATGTGATTAATCAAAAAATAAAATCTTATCTATAATGAAGTTGGGTGTAGATTCTATGAACAAAGACTTAGTAATCAACCTGTACCTCTCTCCACCTACATAGATTACTTCTTAGAATTTTAACCCTCTCTCACCATGCTATTTTGTGGTTGTGTGTTAATGCATGCATGCAGTACAATTGCTGAGCTTTTTCCTCTAAATTACTTATTTTCGTGGGACCAATCATTCTTACCTACGCTAAATTCTTATGTTCTGGTAATCTCACCACCCCCGATCTATTAGTTTGACCTATGTAGTCGACCTAACTCACAGTCATTGAGAGGTATTTTGTAAATTATATTATCTTTTTTAATTGGGTCCACCGGGTCTTTTAGCCTACAGAGCTTGTTCAGTCCGAGTGAGTTTGTAGGTTTAAATGCCACTCTAATTGCTGCCTTATTAAGAATCCTACATAGAAAGTTGTGTCAGGAGTGTCTTAATATGCTTATGAGAGGTAATAAATTACTCTCGGAACATGGTCATCAGTAAATATTACTTACTGTATAACACTGTGAGACTTTAGCAAAATAAATTTTATCCACAATGGAATTGTACAATTTAATATTTATATTATGTTATGAAGACAGCAATTAGTGGTAATATGGAGTGCTCAATCAATACATAACGATTAAAACCACCTGTAAGGTGCATCGGTAACACAGTGGTAGAATACTCGCACTGCAGTAGAATATAATTCTCTATTAGATAAGTTTAATCCTATAGTAAACACAGTATAAGCTACATAGACGATATGAGCGTGAGTTAAACCATACTCATGGCTCGCTTATGTGACTGTGGATGGTTTTCTATAGTCTTGGCAGACGTATAGAAGCTATTCGCATGCTAAATTGGTTGGCAGTGATAACGATTTCATTGGATTTTGATGGCTGCTGGCTTCGTTTATAGGGGCCTATGGTGACTATTGCATCGCTACATGTGCTGCTTTAGCATTTATTATTCTGTTTGGCAAGTCTTATATGCGAGATGAGTTCTCTTGGGCTTGTCTATGCAGCACATTATTGATTGACGCGACCATTGATCCGCGTAATAGTGCTTACCTATGCATTATTGTGTATAATAACGGTGCAAATGGTCCACTGAGGGAAAGGACTCTCGAGTAGTTGCGTCACAGGATGATACTGCATGCTAGCCTCGTCTCGCAAGGGGTGGGGATAGGTGTATTCGGTTTCCCTGATAACCAATACCCAGTCAATGGGTGTACAATTATGTGAATAAACTGGTTGCTCCTGCTAGTAATCATATGCTTGTCTGAGAGATTAAGCCATGCATATCTAAGTACTTACCTTAAAACGGTGAAACCGCGAATTGGTCATTAAATCAGCTGAGGTTCCTTAGATCATATATACTACATGGATCACTATAGTAATTCTAGAGCTAATACATGCAATTATGCCCTGACCCGCAAGGAAACCGGTGCATTCACTAGAACAGAACCAACTGGGGGCATAAAACTTGGGCACTGTGGTTGAGTATAACTCCATTATGGATAAGATTTTATTCTGATAAATCGCACAGTATTGTACAGTAATATTAACTGATGACGTTTCGAGCACAAACTATTGCCACTCATAATAATATCCAGTTACTCACACAACTTTTTTTCTTCATTTATATACATGTGTGGAATCGATTAGATATTGGATTAAAAATCAATATGAGATAATGTACATTCAGAAACAGCAATTTCAGCTGTCTCTGTTGAATTATGCGATGATTCTGGATAACTTTGAAAACCGGAGTCAGCTTTCTACCGGCTACGGATCTTTCAAATGTCTGCCCTATCAGTTTGTTGGTGGCTGATCTGCCCATCATGATAATGACTGGTAACAGGGAATCAGGATCCGATTCTAGAAAGGGAGCCTGAGAAATGGCTATTACATCCAAGCACGACACAGCAGTAGAATGCTCGCCGACCATGCAGGTGACTCGGGATTCGATCCCCAGCTACGGACGCACTCTTTTATCTCACTATGCCAACAATAAGACTGGTAAAAAGAGGCTAGCAGCCCTATCCGGTAACAATAAGCAACACTTCCACTGAAACTTCAAGTCTTCAGCTTGAAGCCCAATGTTTCACTGGGGGAAGATAAAGGAATAAAAAAATATATTCAAGTGACATTGGCTAGCGGTTGCGCTATGTCGTGAATTGGCAGAAGTTAGAATTCAAGGACCATTGGAACGGGTCCCAGTGGCTTAATGGTATACGAGCTCGCCTTGTAACCAGAAGGTCCTGGGTTCGAATCCCGGTGGGTGCGTACTGCTGAAGAGTCCCAAACTAGGACGAAACAGCTGTCCAGTACTCACAGGTTTTTCAATGGTTCTCTAACTAATGTCCGCTCATGATGAAATCCTGTAACCAATCAATCAAATCCCTACAAACCATCACTTGAATACCAATGAGATGCTCACTGGCGACTGGCCCTATTCAGGTAGGTAGTTACCTGGGTTCCAGTGGGAAGTCGTGACCAGTAGGGTGCAGCCGGTCGGGTGTGAGGACAAATACTCGCCACCGAAGACATTGGCTAGCGGTCGCGCTATGTCGTGAATTGGCAGAAGTTAGAATTCAAGGACCATTGGATCGGGTCCCAGTGGCTTAATGGTATACGAGCTCGCCTTGTAACCGGAAGGTCCTGGGTTCGAATCCCGGTGGGTGCGTACTGCTGAAGAGTCCCAAACTAGGACGAAACAGCTGTCTAGTAATCCCAAGGTTTCCAAGGGAGAGGGATGAAACTACAAAGACTGAAATGACTAGAACATGTATTCCTCATGCTGAGCTATAATATATATAACAGGATGAATAAGTAATAATCATTTACCTTCAATCATAACATATTCTGATATCCGTTCATAGTTTAAAACTGCTGCATTTCTTAAACAATTACGAATTGCATTTCGTATAACTTCAGTTGGTACAGGTTCACCGGTTTCTTTAGTCAACACCTACAGCGAAAGAAAATTACAAGTGTAAAAAATGGATTTATTGATTGATTGATTGATTAATTTGTCTAAAGTTTCATCACAGATAGATATCAGTTAAAGAACAATTGAAAACTAGGGTGGATTAAACAGCTTTTTCATCCTAATTTGAGACTCTTCAGCACTGCACACTAACGAGTCTACCTCCAAGGATCTAACAAACCAGAATGCCTTTGATCATTTCGCTACTTTAGTGCTACATTGTTAAGACAAGGAGAGAGATATTTGATGAATCAGTGTTTCCGTCGAAGTCTGCAAGCCAGACATTCCACACCAGTCTAGTTTACAGGTCACTTCGGTAAAAATACTATCCAGCCTAGGCATAATTCCCATGACCTGAACTTGTAATTTATCATTCATGTGAAGTGGGAATATAATCAGCTGAAACTTTTGATCTTATTTCACTAGAACAATAAATCTTCGCGTTCCGTGTCTACTGAGTGATGGAATAATATTCCAGTGATAGATCGGATACTACTATCTTGTACTGAAGTAACACTGACACTAAACTAAATCCATAACATTTTGATGAAGCGGTAGTGAATCATATCTTGCTTGCAGTCTTGAATAAGTAGAACTATTCCGATAAAACACTAAATAGTTACTAAAGTCATGCGTCTACCCTTCTGTTTGGTGCAGACTGAATTCTATTCACTCAAGTTTGCAGTTTGCTCACTATGCTAGGAAGCTTGCTATCATGGTGTATTCTGAGGTTTTGTTACTGGATGGCTGTAGACAATGGACAGAAAGCCTTGAACTTAGGTTTCATGATTCTTGGTACTCATCAGTCAGCAAGGCGTGTATCTACAATCGTGAAGAAAAATTAATATATGTGTAAAACTTGGGCACTAAGGAAGTAAGTAATTCCATATTGGTTTGTTTATTAGATATATCACACAGTCAGTGAAACAGTATTATTATTTACTGCATGACACAGTTTCGAACAAAATTTATTCATTGTTCATAATCATTTCATCAATTATAATCACACGACTTTGAGGTTTGAGTTTTATAGTTTTCTTTGTCTTCTCCTATTTGGCGTATTTGCAGTTGATTCGATAAACAAAGCTTCCGTTATCGATCTCTCCCTCACTACACCCTGCTGCTACATTAGATTTTAAAACTGTCACCTTATCCCATCCAGCCTATTGTATGGTTGTGTGTAATTGCATGTAGTGAGTGCTATACCTGAACCATTCTCCAGGTTTCTTATCGGTGGCACAGTGGTTAGGACTCTCGCCAACCATGCACATGGTCTGGGGTTCGAGCCCTCGCCGACGCACACCTGATATCTATGGTCGGCCTGCAAAATTTGGGCTATCGATATCCACGCTGAAAATTCCATATTTGTACCAAAAATACAGTGTGGAATCAAGCTGTAATCAAAAATAAATAAATAATATCTTATTTGGGTCAACTAATCTAGATTTTTCTAGGTTTTTACGTCCATCTAGTCTGACTCAACTCGGTTCTATTAGTTTGACCTATGTATTTGACCTGACAATCATTCCAGCAGGGTACTGGATAAACTAAATTGTTTTGTTTTAAAAGCTCCACTGGCAGGATCTTTTATCCGATAAAGCTTGTTTCTAACTGAGTTTGTGGGTTTAAACGCCAACCACTTTTATTCCTGCCTTGTTAAGAATTCTCCGGCGTAAGGTCTCCGAGGTTCCTTCCTTGTTTGGAATTACTACTGCTGATTTGAATTCCTAATTGTTGGTGTTGTCTTGCGCATGTTTGACATGCATGTCATTATTATTATTATTATCACTATCACTACTAACATCATCGTGTGATTATAACTGATGAAATGATTATGAACAATGAATAAATTTTGTTCGAAACCTTGTCATCCAGTATGTTATAATACTGTTTCACTGACTGTGTGATGCATCTAATAAACAAACTAATATGGAATCTTGAAGGAATTCGTGGCCCTCCTGAGATTCGAGTCCATATCATCTAGTGTTCAGGTTCATGATTGACCTCCTGTAGAACTGTAACAGATATTTTGGCTGGACACTAGGTGGTAACTAACTCAAGGTACGGAACCTAGGACCTTCAGATCAAGAAGTGATTCCTTCTTACTTTTTAGCCACTCATACGGAATCAAATAAGCCATGAATTGTAATTTCTGCTAATTCACCGTATACACAAAGCTACTGTCAGTCACTGTCGTCGATGAGTCTCAGCATCAAATGACATTCATTGGGTATAGGTAGTTGGAAAGAATTCGCGAAATCAAAGAAAAAAATGTCCGTTCACCTTATCCTGCCGCATTTATCGTTTTAAAGCTTCGTTCAAGTTGATAATCGGAAGGAATAGTACTAAATTCTATGTAAGAAGTTCTGGTCTTATAAAGGACTAGGATGAGTAGTGTGTTTGGTTCTCTCAAAAACCATTCTATAATTACCAAGTCTGTGGGTATATAAGTATGTAATAGCGTCAGAAGTTCAATGTTAAAATGCTCTCTAACCTCTCATATGGTCCATTTTCTAATTTTGACAGACACACTCCGGAACATATTCGAACAATGTATCTGTGTAGAACATTCCATGCGTTATTCTATGTGTCTGATTTGATATATATATATATATATATATATATATATATATATATATATATATATATATATATACAATTCCCTTAGGTCACAAGTCTATTTTACCTGGCTCTACGATTATCCATCAGCTTTCATCTCCTCTTCACACGTTCTCCCCCATATCATCCCTGTAGGCCTGATTTGTCATTTCTTCTTCAATTTCCACTCAACAGCCTGACTCACGATGTCCCTAACACTCTCCTTGGCACGTATCCTACCCATCTTCATTTCCTTAGGCATATATGTCGGACAAGTGGTTCTTGATTGGTTTATTGCCATAGTTCCCTGTTGCTAATTCCTTTTTGACCAGCCAACTGATCTTCTGTATTTTGTTTCCTTTACGCTCCCCAGTGGAACATAGGGCTTCAAGCTAGTGGTTTGAAGTTTCTGTAGTAGTGTTTATTTTTACAGAATGGGGTTGCTAGCCTCATGTCCGACCTTTCCTCTTTACCAACATTATTTCCGGCTTAGCGAAGTAAAGCAGTACGTCGGCCGGAGATCGAACCCAGGACCATGTGCATAGTCGGCGAGGGTCCTAACCTCTATGCCAGCGAAATGGCCACTTGATGATAAAAGTTTGCAGTAGGCTGTTCGAAATACTTTTGGTGATACGCCACGTCACTGAACCATGTAGAAGAACTGATTGGCTTGACATCAATGTTGAAAATTCAAATCTTGTTCTCACCTTTCAGATCCTCTCTCTGACATCATAAATATATGGTACCATTATAAACCAGCACCTGTTATGCTCCAGTATAAGAAACTTCATGAACTCGAAAGCAGTGTTAACGGGGGGGAAGGAACCAGTTTCTTCAGATTTCAAGGTGAGCGCTCCTTATTTATTTATTTATTTATTTATTTGATTACAGCTTGATTCCACACTGTATTTTTGGTACAGGTATGGAATTTACAGCGTGGATATCGGTAGCCCAAAATTCGCAGGCCGACCATAGATATCAGGTGTGCGTCGGCGTGGGCTCGAACCCCGGACCATGTGCATGGTTGGCGAGAGTCCTAACCACTGTGCCACCGACGCACACACTCAGTCGACAACTGCTACCTTGTCGTGGTGGTCGGGCTTGAATACCGCAGTGACCCAACAAGCTAAACTGGTTGAGACTCATGTCCCTGCAGATCCTACCATGTCAGGAAGGTTGTTTTGATAGCGGTTAGACTAAAAGCAGTTAACATGGGGTAAATGGGCTGCAGAATCCAATCGGACCAAATGGCGTATGAGGCCATATGGGTCACCGGAAACCATGGGAATCCAGCTCCTGACGCTGCTCCGCTGCCTTCCGGATTAGATTCCAAGTCAAATGCTCGACAGGTGGTCCCTTGAGAAAACAACCTGCTTCGCTCAGGGCGCCCGGGCAGTATCTCAGCCCTCACACAATGTATGGTGCATCTTTCTTGGTGCCATATTGTACCAAGTCTTTTCTGCGTTTAAACAATAATAAATAATAATATAAAGCTACTGCCGGTCACTGTCATTGATGACTATCAGCATCAAGGGTCATTCATTAGTTAGAGGTAGTTGAAAAGAATTCGCGAAATCAGAGAGAAAAATGACTGCTCATACTATCCTGCCGCATTTATCGTTTTAATGCTTTGTTCACTTTGATTATCGGAATAAACTCCTTTATATTCTACGTATTGTTCTATCTATCTGAGGTTTGATATAAATAATACAATTATTTGACGAAGTTCAACAATAGCGTCCCAGGAGTGCGAACGCATGACTAATGATCTTGAATGTATGGTAGTCGTTAGCTAACAGCATCTGTTATTATCATAACTGAAATATCAACGCTATTCACCACAGCTAAGGAGTAAATTTCATCCAGATGACTTTTTTAAGTACTGTTTGGACAATGTGTTCATAACTCGTTAGGGTTAGGATCAGGGTTATAATTAGCATTAGGGTTGGAATTACAGTTTGGATTAGGATTAAGGTTAGGTTTAGTGTTAGGGTCAGGATTAAGGATAGATTTACAATGTCATCTATTGATGTCATCTATTTTAATTTGTTTTATTATCCAAGTTTTCCTGGTAAGTAGTCATCGATCCTCGGTGGCACAGTGGTTAGGACTCTCGCCGACCATGCACATGGTCCGGGGTTCGAACCCACGCCGGCGCACACCTGATATCTATGGTTGGCCTGCAAAATTTGGGCTACCGATATCCATGCTGAAAATTCCATATTTGTACCAAAAATACAGTGTGGAATCAAGCTGTAAATCAAAAAAAATCAAAAATCAAATTGCTGGAAACCATAATAATTCAACCGAGGACATTTGTGGAAGACTGTATAACAGGATGGCTAAGAGAGATAAACGATTCACAAAAATAGTTTATCTGTAGT